ACAAGCTGCCAAACACAGGCTGAAAAAACATCCTGACAAGCCATTCCGGTACAAGCCGTACAAGATTCGCATTGATGGCACTCTCATGATCTCTGCCATCACACTACTCATCACGTTACTTCTCTTGCTCATCGTTGTGCCCATGAACAAGTGGATCTTGTCCCGGAAGATTGGCTATGGGCTGATTGCACTTTGGGCGACGGGCACCGCGATCAATCTCGTTGTTGAGACGACAGGCGTTTGGACGGAGGTGTCTTTGACAGGGTGGTCGTGAGCACGGGGGCGTTGACTTGGATAGCTCTTTCTTCCCATGTGTGCATTGAAAATGCATTGAGAGCGGTCTTTTTGGTTCGGGACATTGATACCTGGTTGCAGGAGCGCATGCTTTCTCCGTCATTATCGCATAGCGTTGTTTCATACTCTTCCGTCGGTGCAGGAGCGCATGCTTTCTCCGTCATTATCGCATAGCGTTGTTTCATACTCTTCCGTCGGTCGTCAACCTCGGGTGACTGCTTCTTCTAGCTTGAGTTTCATGCTACTTTGATGACCTAGTTTCATCGCGTTCGATTGCTGTGCATTCTGTGCAGTAACTACCTGTTCCAGCATTGGTCTTGGAAGACCAGGCTGGGCCTACCAACCACCAAATGCTGGGATCACTGCTGGTCACCGATTTTGCGGCATGACCCTATAGCAAAGAGAGCGAAGTTCAAGTCGTGAAGAGGTTCTACGGGTGATGCGCTGATGATATCATGGGTTTCTTGGCCGCATAGCCCCGGTTCAAAGGAACAGTATCGTTGGCGTGCTCGAACAACGATGTGGGATTGTGTAGCTATATACTTGGACAAGCATATTTGGGCAGCCACGACAGACTAGCTTGCACGATTTCGAGACGTCGGAGGAAATTTAGGGAATTGCGACCAAACACGTTTCGAACCAAAGCTAGGCAGATGCGTGGACCGCGTAGTGGCCGAGAAGAAAATGAGAAATGACGGTTAGTCTCAGCATTGATCATGTGACATACTGTTCGAAGCATGATGTGAGGTGCAATATTGAGGGTTGTGACAAATCGGTATTGCCCGTTCGCCAGCCAGCTCGTGTACTTCGCTCGAGTTTGCCCAGGCTCTCGTCTCAAATGGAGGTCGTCAGGTTCCCCCACCATGTTAGCTACCCCGCGGGCTGAAGAGCCCCTGAAGAGCCCCTGAAGAGCCCCTGAAGAGCCCCTGAAGAGCCTCCCTGTTCCGCTTCAGTGAGGGGCAATGAGGGGTCGTTTTCGGCGGAGAGTCCGAAAGGGGAGCTCCGCCAGACTCTGGTGCAGTCAATTGACACTTGAAAAGCTGCGAAGTGCCTCTTTGGCATCTGGAGGATACGCGTCGTGTTTCAATTAGCATTGGCTTCATCCCGTTTGTGGTTGTGGCGCTGCTATCCAAATGCTCGACGTGTCTGCCTACCTTAGCTACCTACCTTAGGTCCCTAGGGAGGATCAAGATGGCCGCACTAGCCAGGGTCACAGAGTGCGTTCCAATTGTGACAGCTGGCCAGATTGAAGGACGCGGTGACGGTCAATACGAGCTGGAGAAGAAAAGAACACGTAGCGCGTCTAAGAGCGTCATCTGCCCGGGTACTAATTGTGATGTGATGATTCGATTTCAGATGCGCCCACGTTGCTGGAGAAGGAGGTTCGTAGCTTGTGTTTCCAAAAGACTAAGCCGAGTATAAGTGGGCGCGGGGTAGCTGCAGCTCTCCTTAACCTTCTCGTCCTTCTTTTTCTCCTTGACCGCCCCTGCATCGAGACCAGCGAACCTCTCTCATCGCGGTTCGTGGCACAATCCACTCCCTGATAGATACAGTACCGACACTCGCTCTCTGCCAGATTCGACCCCCGATCACCAGCCATCACAATGGACTCGACGACAGCCACGGCCACGGCCACTGCGGACTTCCCTCCCCTCGAGGATCGACCCATCAAGAACACCATCTGCCTCTTCGACGTTGATGGCACCCTGACGCCATCTCGCCTGGTATGCCCCGGGAATCCTGTTTTGTTCGTGGACTATGATCTTGATCGGATTTTGCTAACGACGTCTGTGTGTCTCGCAGGCAATCACTCCCGAGTTGACGACCCTCCTCTCGAAGCTCCGCACAAAGGTCGCCATCGGCACCGTCGGCGGCTCCGACCTACGCAAGCAGCAGGAACAGCTCGGCGACCCCTCGCGCACCCCCGTCACCTCCATGTTCGACTTCAACTTTGCCGAGAACGGCCTCGTCGCGTACAAGCTCGGCGCCGCCCTGCCCGCCAACAGCTTCCTGCAGTGGATCGGCAACGACCAGTACAAGGAGCTCGTCAACTTCATCCTGCACTACGTCGCCGACCTCGACATCCCCGTCAAGCGCGGCACCTTTGTCGAGTTCCGCAACGGCATGGTCAACGTGTCGCCGGTCGGCCGCAACGCCTCGGCCCAGGAGCGCGCCGACTTTGAGGCGTACGACAAGATCCACGGCATCCGCGCCGCCTTCATCGACAAGCTGCGCGAGCGCTTCGCCCACCTCGGCCTCACCTACTCCATCGGCGGCCAGCTGTCGTTCGACGTCTTCCCCCAGGGCTGGGACAAGACGTACTGCCTCAAGCACCTCGACGACGAGGCGCGCAAGCCCGGCGGCATCGAGTACACGACCATTCACTTCTTTGGCGACAAGACGGCCAAGGGCGGCAACGACTATGAGATTTTCGAGTCGGAGCGCACCGTTGGCCACACGGTCGTCAGTCCCGACGACACGGCGCGCCAGCTGAAGGAGCTGTTTGATCTGTAGAGATGCGCGGCATGGGGTTCTGGCGCATTTCGGTAGAGGGAAAACTGTGTCAGCTATGACACTGTAGATCTGGCTCTTCATTGCTAGGGAGATCTGGACTTGTAATGAATGATGATCAAGCGGACTTTCCCATGCGTGTGACGTGGGCTTTGACTCAAAGGTTAAAAAGCCAAAACTGTTCTAACAGAGCACGAGAAAACATTGCCGCCATGATATCTTTCAATGGGCGTTTCAATTGACGCTGTGCTGAGCATCGATAGCGTTAGCCATGTACGCTGGCAGCTGAGATGCCAGAACGCGGGGCAGAGGGACCCCTCGACGTGCCCCACCATGTCCATGTTGATCTCGACCTCCAACTGCCAAACCTCCCCATCTCAAGTCTCTCCTTGCATGCGCGGCGCATTTCCTACCGCCCCTTCCTGCCATCACCGCCTCCCTTCTCCCCCAAGACGACGACAACCCCCCGACCGACCATGTCATGATACGACGCTGAGTCATTCCCCGCAATTTCACCTCCCAACGACCTCCCCCGTCATGGATATCGACGACATCCTCCAGCAGGTCGACCCGACGACGGCCTCCACCCCCCCGGACACCCGCGACCTGCAAGCCCTCACGCGCGCCTGGATCGCCGAACGCTCTGCCCCCGAGCTGCTCGAGTGCGTCCTTCCTTCTGGGCGAAAACCCGTGCCCTCGTATTGCCCACGTCTGCGCAAGGCTAACTGGACGCGTCGCAGATGGCCACCCGACAACCTGTTTGAGCGCGTCAACGCTCGCATCGCCCGCCAGATCGAGACCATTGAGGACATGACGGGCGACATGGACCCCAAGACCAACTTTGCTCTCATTGTCATCCAGACGGAGCTCGAGCGCTTCAAGTTTCTCGTGCGAAGCTACATCCGCGCGCGGATCGCCAAGGTAACCTTGGAAGAAAGATGAACATTGCCACGCCCCAGTCAGCGCGAGAAGCTAACCAGCACCCCAGATCGACAAGCACACGCTCTACTACCTCGCCAGCCCGCCGCTGCGCGCGCGCCTCTCGCCGACGGAGCTCGCCTACGCAACCCGCCACCAGGCCCTGCTGCACGACCACTACCTCTCGTCCTTCCTCTCGAGCTTCCCGCCGCAGCTGCAGAACCTCAACGACACGGCCGGCATGACGAGCATGATGGACGGGCCCGACCTCGACGCCGCCGTCTTTGTGCGCCTGCTGCGCGACGCCACGGTCGAGGGCCGCGGCACCGACTCGGACGACGCCATTGACGCCCGCTTTGGCGACGTGCTGATCCTGCGGTGGTCGAGCGCCAGGGCCTTGGTTGAGGCGGGGGTTGCTGAGCTGGCGTAGGGCGGCGGGCTGGCGGCGGCGGGACGGTCTGTTGACGGCCCACGAACCACTGCGTCGTGAACTTGTCCTGCGGGGCGGGACTGCTGGGGAGTCGAGGCTGCTGTCTGAGACCAGACCCGAGATTGTGGATTTCGGCATCGTGACATGCAGAAGCAGGGCGATCTCATGTGACGCGACTGCTCTTCTCGCCATGTCAGGCGCGCTCTGCGGAGAGGAGCATCGGAGCCATGCTGATGGGTTGCCGTCTCCGAGCCCCTGGGCTCATCGCACTGACTACCGTTTTAGCAGCCTGGCTAGGTCTACCTGTCAGTCCTTTACTAACACGGGGACGACATGCATCGGCACGCAAAACGAGACGGTGGGAGAACGCGATACATCGTCACGTCGAATACAAGTGGCAGGGGTCGGAGGAGACTGCTACCACGAGGCGAGCGCGACATGGACGCTCGAATGACGAATTCATGAATACAGGCGTAACCAATGGAGAGCAGGGTGGTTTGCGGAGGCGACTGGTGCCCAGCACGATCTGGGCCTCGTTCATCAAAGTAGCATCATTGGAAGGGGTAAAATATACGGTCTTGGCATCAAGATTCCAACCGACTGGATGCCAGAGTCCGTTTGGCGATTTTCATACATGAGCATATCGACTGTATGGTAAACCAGTACATATATATATATATATGGAAATTCAATCTATCATTTCGAGACCGTTTCTCTTCGTCCCTGTATGCATCTCTATGACTTATCTGGAGATCTCCATTCAATCAGATGGTGCCGTTCCTCAACGCGGCTTGCCAAGTTTCACCCCATGCCCAAACGCCAATGATATTTCAACCCTCAAGCTTCCTCACGCCCTCGACAGGTCGACAGCATCCTTCAAGCTCTCCTCCAGGCTGCCCAGCTCCGGGCTGACCGCCTCGCGACTCTTCAGCGTCAAGACAGCACCCTCCTGCGCCACGCCGATCAATCCCTCGACGCGTCCGCCCATGGCCAGACCCGCGACCATGACGCCCAAGAATGTATCGCCAACGCCGTTGACAGAGACAATTTCATCCACCCTCTCCGCGGCAGGGAACATGCGCATGTACACGCCTCCGACATGCGGGTTCCCATTCTTCGACCGCGAGAGAATGTACTTCTCCTCCCGGGGATCACTCAGACGCGGGTCATCCCGGCCCAGGATCGTCGTCAGCAGGCAGCCCTTGGCGCCGAGCTTCGTCACGACGGTCGGGATGTACGGAAGGAGCTGCACGGCTTGCACCGGTACGCCCGCATCCGCGAGCTCGACGCCGACGAGACGCACAAAGGCATCGCGGGCGCCGAGGAGGCCGAAAGCGTCGACGACCTTCCACCAGCCCTGCGTCGCGAGGTGTCCGTTCTCGCGCGCGGCGGTCCACATGGCCTCGAGCTCGTACGTGTTTGGGGACGCAAGGTCGACGGCAGCATGAGGGAAGACGTCAAGCTCTGTGTCTGAAGGGAAGAGGCCTGTGGATTTGGCGGTGGAGACAGGCTCATAGGCAATCTTGGCATGGGATGCGCGGCCGGCGGCGAGCCAGGCGTGGATATCACGCGGCGCCCAGTTCGCGTCGACAACGAGCCACGAGGGAGAGGCCGCCTTGACGGCGGCGCGCCATTGGGAGGGGGGGACGGCATTGGCTGAGAGAATATCCATGTCGGCCATGGCGAGAACGAGGTTCTTTGAGGCGTCGTTGACGGCGACGTATTGCGCCGTGCGGTGCGGTGCCGGGAGCTGGCGGATGGCAGAGGTGTCGAGGCCCTCAGCAGCAAGGGCAGCAAGCACCGTATCGCCGGCAGCGTCGGCGCCAACAAGACTACAGAGGCGGACGAGGCAGGATTTTGTGGCACGGTGCGCAGCGAGGGCAACGTTGTGCCCGACACCGCCGATGGACTGACTGATGGCAGCCGGGTTGGATGTCTCGAGCTTCGGGGAGGGGTTAGTGGATTTGGTGGTGGGAGCGTAGTCACAGCCGAGGTCGAGGGCGACGGAGCCAGCGACGAGTATGTCTACTTTGGTTGGCACAGTGCCAACAGAGGCTGGAGTAGTTTGCTTGGGTGGTGAAGGTTTGTCTATTCCGGATACGAAGTTGCTTGATGTTGGTCTATCTACCGTCAGATTTCAGATTCTGACATATCATGACTTGCTTCCTTGAACGTTGAGCGGACCAGGCACACTTACGCCGCGGTGAGGCTGGGTGTCCCGCTCTGCAGCTTGGAGAGCTCGACGGCGATGGTGGTGGCACGAGCGACGTTGGATCGGACGAGAGCCTTGTTGGCCAGCGTGCTGCGTTCGCCAGTCTGCTTCCGAATGGCGGTCAGGACGTAGGGCGTGTTCCTAGCGCCGGTGAAGCCCTTCTCGTTGGCCTCACGAACGGCCGTCTCGATGACGGCAGCCATCTCGGCGGCAGGGACGGCGGCCTCCTCGGGGATGGGGTTGGCAAAGACCATACCCGACTCGATGCCCATCGTCTCTTGCGCCAGGATCATGGCAGCAGCATCCTTCTCGTTTTCGACGACGAGAGGGCTCGGGGTGCCGCTCGTGCGGGCCCAGAATGCTGGAAAGTCGACAGGACCCTTGCGGCCGTCGGCAAATGTCGCGACAAACGCACCCTGGGTTTCGAGGAACTCGAGGGTCCGGGGGATGTCGAGGAAGCCCTTGCAGCCAGACGAGACAACGGCAACGCGGGTGCGGCCGAGCTCAGTGAGATCGGCAGAGACGTCCATCGAGTCGTGGCCACCACGGTGGACGCCGCCGAGACCACCGGTGCCGAAGACGCGAATGCCGGCGAGGCGAGCCAGCAGCATGGTGCCGGCAATGGTGGTACCACCGTGAATCTTGTTGCCAGCAAGACCCTGAAAGTTTCTTGTCAGCAGCTGCTCATGGCGCAAGGCAAGGCCTGATGAATCTCACAAGTCCAGCCAGGTAGGCAATATCACGGCGGGAGACCTTGCGGGCACTGCCCGAGTCTACCATGCGAGCGACCTCTTCGGGGGTCAAGCCGACGATGGGGACGCCATCGAGGATACCGCAAACAGCGGGAATACCGCCTCCCTGACGAACAATGTCCTCGAGGCCCAAGTCATTCCCAAGGGCACCATGTGTGTAGATGGTGGACTCGAGGGCGACGACGGGCTTGTTGGTGGCAATGGCGTCGGCAACTTCATCCGAGATGCGGAGGAAGTCCTTCAACCCGGGAGCACCAGCGTAGGGCGCCGTGGAGTAGAAGCGGCTTGCTGACAGAGAGCGTGCGGTGAGACCATGGCGCGGCACGTTCGACCGGGACGTGGACAGGTGAGAGAGGGCACGATATGAAGGAGTGCTGAGTCTGTTGCATGATGCTCTGGTTGGTAGGGTCGAGGATAGGCACGCCCTCGTAGCCGAGAGTTGCGAGACCTGCATGGTGGACACGGAGAGACGAGAAGGAAACGGCTTGAAAAAGTCAATGGAACGGACAAAAGGGAGAGCAAAGGCGACCTGGCCTTTGGGATGGGTTTGCAGAGGGGTGATGGAGGAGGCAATGGGCAAGAGCAAAGAGGGGAGGTTTTGTTGGTGAGGAGAGTATCAAGAGGAAGCTCCGATGAAGATGCTGCCGTAGGTACCTAGGTACCTAGGTAGGTACCCATCCAATGACTCTTGCTTCGGCGAGCTCGCCTGAGTCTAGTGCCAGTGCGCCGCGGTACGTACCGTATGCCTACACAGGCCCTCGGCCGACTCCGACGATCCACTTCGGGCGCCCTGACAGTGAACAGTGAACAGTGAACAGTGAACAGTGAACAGGGGAGAGTGAACAGTGAACAGGGGAGAGTGAACAGGGGAGAGTGGAGAGTCCTGGGGGGGAGCCCTATCGGCGCAGGCAGCTTAGTCCCATTCACCGCCGTCCCAACGCGATACCGGCCGGTTGAGCGGCTCAACTCGGCCGACGCTTAGGTGGTCTCGAGATGACCGCAGTCGACGCCTTGTCAAGGTAGTCCTTGTCAAGGTCGGCAGGCGAACTCACCAGGACGTCATCCCATGGAGGATACAATCCTCATCTGATATGTCAAAGTCATCTCTCCACGACCAGCCTTCACCAGTACCGAAACAAGGCCAGGCTATGGGGAGGTGCATGTCAATCTTGCCCAGCTGGACCCAGTACCCCTTCAACCCGGCCGCCGGCTCGGGCAACGCGCGCCAGTACCGCTCCTTCTGCCGTCTGCAATAGTACCCGACGGTGGTGCACCCGGCGCGGACGGCGTCGTTCCGGGCCATTTGGTACACGGAGCTCGGTAGGGCAACGGTGCATTCACGCAAGGTGGTCGCCGGCAGCTGGCGCAGCATGGCCTCGATGGGCGCGAGGACCTTCTCGAGCACGGTCCGCGGTGGTCGTCTGGGGTGCCACTTGCCGGCTACAAAGCACCGGCAGCTGTGCCTCTGGATCCGAGGCATTCTTTTCTTGCGAGCCGCCGGGGAATTGAAGTTTATGAGCCAGTTTCGACAGCATTGTTGGTTGTCCGAGCGCCAGACCCGACAACTTGACGATGGCGCATGTCGTGGGAACATGTTGCGGAGGCAGTTGGATGAGAGGACGCTTGGCATCCAGCTAGGTACCTAGGTACCTAAGACCTAGGTAGGTTGGGTACCTAGGTAGGTTGGGTACCTAGGTAGGTTGGGTACCTAGGTAGGTTGGGTACTTACAGTACACCTTCTCGGCAAGCCGAGCGTGGGAATGAGCCCCGAAGGATTGACACCGCATGGCGTGTGAACCGCTGGAAATGACACGCTAAAGTCGCTAAAGGGGCCCCCTTCTAGGTCCACCGCAAGGTACCTCAGGATGCAGTGATGACCTGCCCTGATTGACCAGCCGAAAGGAAAAGGAATGAATGGGAAAAGAAATCTTTAGCTGACAGTACTGGCATACAACCACCCATGTTTGGCGAACTCATGCAGGCTGGCATCTCCTACCAAGAACTGCGCATTCGCATGCCTGGTGACCGTGACGGCACTGAACGTATACAAACATGGCCATACACGAAAATACTCGTCTTCGAATCATGTGAGCATGGCAAGACGCCTGTCCACAACATGAAGTGAAGCCGATTCACTGCTTAGTCACCAACATCAGATGTTTACCTCAAGGGAGCACCTCAAGCCCAAATTTTGTCCACCGCCTTGGAAAACTTGAACGTCACGGAACCTCAAAGCATGCCACCATCAAGTCCTGTACAGCGTCGCGCCGAGCCGGCCATGGCTGCCCATGACATACCAAGCCCGAGCGAGACGGCGCCGCTCCTCGGTGGCTCGACATCAGCGCCTCTGCAGCTGAAGAGCAAGGGCAGCTTCGCAGCGGAGGGCCGCCTGCTGCTCCGTTATTCCGTTCCTCTTATCGCCACATACCTCCTGCAGGTACCTCACCTGCCAGTCCTTGATCCCCTACCGAACAACCGAACATCAAACTGACAGACGCAGTACTCTTCCACAGTCATCACAACAGTCGTGGCCGGCCGCTTGGGTGCCGATAGCCTCGCCGCTGCTAGCATTGGCCTCACGACCATGAACATCATCGGCCTGGCATTTTACGAGGGCATGGCTACAGCCCTCGACACCCTCTGCGCCCAGTCATATGGCTCCGGCCGTCTGACAGAAGTCGGCCTGCACGTTCAGCGCATGACACTGCTCATGATTGCCCTGATGATCCCCGTCGGCGCCTTTTGGCTGTGCTCGCCCTCCATCCTGCCGCTCCTCGTTCGTCAGCACGACGTGGCCGTGAAAGCCGGCACCTTCCTGCAGATCAGTCTCATTGGGCTGCCTGGCTACGCCCTGTTCGAAGCCGGAAAACGCTTCTTACAGGCCCAAGGCGATTTCCGATCCGGCATGGTTGTCTTGGTCATCTGCACGCCAGTCAACGTCGTCCTCTGCTGGCTCCTAGCCATCAAGCTCGACATGGGCGTCGAGGGCGCCGCACTCGGCCAGGCCATCGCCAACGATCTACGCCCGCTTCTTCTGCTGGCATACACCTTCTTCTTTCACAAGTGGTCGCACGTGTGCTGGGGCGGCTGGTCCATGGCGTCCCTGCGCGGCTGGGGCCCCATGGTGCGCCTCTCGGCCGCCGGCACCGCCGTCAACCTGGCCGAGTGGCTGGCCTTTGAGATTCTCATGATCAGCACCTCCTACATCGACACCAACCACCTCGCGGCGCAGACCATCCTCACCACCGTGTCCATCGTCATGTGGCACATTCCCTTCTCCGTCAGCGTCGCCGTCACCACCCGCGTCGGCCACCTCATCGGCGCCGGCCAGGTCCATGTCACGCGCAGGGCCGTCACGCTGTACGCCGTCGTCTTCTTGGCCCTCGGCCTCTTTGACGGCGTGCTGTTGTTCCTGCTGCGAGGCCAGATCGGCGCCTGGTTCTCGGACGACGACGTCGTGCAGCGCATCGCCACGCGGTCGATGCTCTCCGTCGCCGTGTTCCAGGTCATCGACGCGCTGCTGGCCGGCTGCAATGGCGTGCTCAGGGGCCTCGCCCGCCAGCACGTCGCCGCCTGGATCGTCTTGCTCGTCAACTACCTCGGCGCTGTGCCGTTGTCCATGTGGCTGGAGCTCGGCGCGCCCGACCTGAAGCTGGACGGTCTGTGGATCGGGACGGGATGCGGCACGGCTCTGATTGCTCTGCTCGAGTGTCTTTATATGAGGCATATCCGATGGCAGGATTGTGTGGAGGATGTGAAGAAGCAGGAAGATCTATAAGGTGCTCGTCGTGAGCAAAAATACCATCTACAATGTAAGGACAGGCGGTGCACAGGTTGGACATGATGGCACGGCGTGGATGATAGACTCATGATTGTGTATAATGATTTCTCCGCATCAGTTGCAAAGTACGAAACCTCCGTAGTCCGGACCTCGTTATGCATTCCCTAGTAAACTTAATGAACACCGCTGCGGAGCATGTTGATGCCACACCGACACGGGTGCTATTGGTCGCCTTGACCGAGGAGCAGGGATGCCGCTGACAGCTCTTTGTTGCGTGTTGGACAGTAAAGATGAGGGACGAAAACTTGACTATAATACCTGCCGTTATGGCTTAACTGACTTCATCGCCTTCCGATCATTCCGAGCTACGGGTCCAGGCAACGCTAACCCTGGTCTGTAGCTTTTGACGCTTCCTCTCGTGACAGGATGCGCAAGCTGGGAGCAGCAGACGACCAGAGCTGCGCGATCGACGTTGCTCAAGGTTCAATCACACGCTCAAGGTTCAACTAACTGCTCTCGCCCCCTTGCTTCAACTGTCCCATCATCTGCATCGGGGCCGTGGTTTCAAGAGCTGTCTGATGCGAAACCGAAGCCTACGGCCAGGGTTGAGCTTGCCATGTTTAAAAAGGGCTTTCATGCCAGCTGCTTGGAGGGCGGCTTCTACCACCCCTCCTCGACGCCCCGACAATTTTGTCTGATAGCAACGCCGGGCCCCCTCCTACATACCACGTCTTCCAGCCAGGCCATTTCAAGATGAACGCCGCCGCGTGGCTTTGGAGACGCTGCACGGCGCGAACACCGCCGCCCATCGTCGAGACCGATACGGTATATCCGCTGCACCGCCAGGACGATCAAGCATTTTATCGTCAGATGAACCTCGTATGGTTATTGCGGTTCGAAGATGTTCTCGACGTCGATAAGTTACGCCTAGCCTTGGCCAAGCTGTTGGAACGGGACGGGTGGAGGAAGATTGGAGGTCGTCTCCGGATCAACGTACGTGACACATCCCCGTAGCCGAGTGCCTCCATTTGGCATGCCTCTCACACCGATGCCCAGTCCAAAGGAAAGATGGAAGTCCATGTACCGGAGAAGTTCACCGATGAACGGCCCGCCTTCCGGTGGACACATCAGATATTTGACATGCCGCTGGACGAGCACCCTGTTGGGGCCCGGCTTCCCAAAGCCGGCGATCACCCGTACGTGCAGCTCGTGGACAACGAGTTCCAGGAGATCGAGACCACATCAGACCAGGCTCTCACACCGGAAGCTCTCAGCCATCTGGATGAGCCTCAGTGCTCGTTCCTTGTCACGTCGTTCACAGACCAGACGATAGTGGCACTAACGTGGCCGCACACGCTGACGAGCGTGATGGGGCTGAGTTATTTATGCAGGCCTGGTCACTCATGCTCGCCGGACGAGAGGACGAGATCCCTCCGTTCGACGGTGCCGAAGAAGACGTCATGGACAACCTGGGCGACGAGAATCAGGAGAAAACAGAGCCCTTTGCGCTCCAAGACAGGCTGCTCCAGGGCTTTTCGCTGGCGAGGTTCGTGCTGCGCGTGGTATGGGACATTGCCCGCCGCCCTTTGATCCAAAGCAAGATCGTCTTCCTGCCTGCGTCGTTCGTTTCCCATCTACTGCAGCAAGCCAGGGACGATTTAAAGGCGTCAAGCGAAGGCGAGGAGCTCCCATTTGTCAGCGAAGGCGACGTTCTCACAGCCTGGACCATGAGCGTGCTTCCCGCGATCTACGGCAATCGCCCGTATACGGTCATGAACGTGGCCGACCTGCGAGGTCGCGTGCCGGGCCTCTTCAAGCCGGGCCACGCCTACGTACAGAACACCTTGACGCAAACCTTCACCATATTCTCGGCCGAAGATGTCAAGAGCCTGGGCCTCGGCCGCCGAGCGCTCAGGGTGCGCCAGTCGATTGTCGAGCAGACGACCCCAGCCCAGTGTGCCGCCTATGCCCGTCTCACGAGGAAAATCAGCATCCCCCTCTTCGGCGAGGCAAGCGGGACCATGGGATCGATGACCAACTGGGGGAAAGCCAAGTTCTTCGACATTATCGATTTTGCGCCCGCTGTGGTCAAGGCTGGTGTGTCAGGAGACAGGAGGCGAGCGGAGCCCGGCAAAATCGCGTATCAACATGCACACATATTGAAGAGAGCTGTCGAAGTGCGAAACTGCTTCTTCTTGACGGGAAAAGACCGCCAGGGAAGTTATTGGTTGGGCGGGGTAATCCATCCTGACTTTTGGGCAGCACTAGAGAAGGAGTTGCAGAAGTTTACGCCGCCCTAGAAGTGTCACCGCTGACGCACTCGTATGATCTCTTGTCTGTCCATGTACACACAGGCATCGATTGGGGTAATCTTAAACTCTGTAGCAAGGCGTACGTAGCGACGTGGCCACTTGGCTATGAGTAAGATGTATTTATGAAGGCCTTCTCAAGTTTCGCCAGCGTTCCCCCCTTCTGCACAAGACGAGGATCGCAGCGACGCCGGTAGATCCACTGATGATCCCGATCATGGTGAAGAACCATCCATAACCCAGCGATTTGACCAGCGGATTGACGCAGGCAACGGCCGCAGCCGACATGCCGCACCGAGTGATGTTGCCGGCTGCTGCAGCAGTGCTCGGCTTGTCGGGGAAGATGTCGACGAGTAATGCATTAAAGGCCTGGTGCGTGATGGTGCCTTGCGCACCGATCAAAAACTGGAAAACCAGAGGCACGGCAGGATGAACACGATACTCGACAGACCAGCCGAGCCCAACAAGTGCTGCGACAGAGAAGACGAACAGCGAGATGGACCCTCTTGATCTCGCCCTCTCCAGCGGGAACTGATACACATCATCTCCGACGACTCGGTCTGTCTGGAGGCCAGCCTGACGTGCGACGTGCTTGTAATTTGCATCCATCATTCGTCCACCGATGAACCCTCCGATAATCACCCCTGAGCCGCCGGCGAGGTAGCTCAGCCCAACATACAGCTGGTTCCAGCCGTACAGCGAACCAAAGATGATGGGTATGGATGTTTGGATACAGTACCAGACCGTGTAAACCGAGGCAGCCATCCACAGGATCAAGCAGGTGTCTTTATAAAACACGATGCGGAGCGCCGCCAAAGGATTTGGCATGGCCAGTTTTCCCTTCCCCGTCTTCCCTTCGTTAACCCCCACCTGCTGTTCATGCTCCTCGCCTGCATTGGTATGAGGATTCAGCTGTCGCCCATCTTTCAACGTCGCAGTTGGTAAGCAGCCGAACAGGAGCTCCCACCACGTCCTCCAGATGCCCCTGGCTTGTACGGCGCCATTGCCGACAACCGTCCTCGCCGTTTCGGGCAACGTGAAGCCCATCAAAACGAAGGCCACGACCCCAAAGATGGCCAGCGTCCAGAAGCACCAGACTGAGCTCCCGGTCTGCCTCGCAACGAGCCCCCCCAAGACGGGCCCAATACAGGGCCCCAGGTTTGTCGTCGCGAGGAGCGGGCCAAGCATGCTTCCGCGCTCCGCTGGCGTGATCATGTCTGCGACGACGCCGTATGCGAGACCAAGAACGGCCGAGCCCCCTAAGCTTTGCAGGCCGCGCAGAGAAAGAAGGGCGCCGTAGCTGTTCCGGTTCAGAGCCAGGCCGACGCTTGCGCTGACGTAAATCAGGAAGCTGAAAAGCAGAACGGGTCTCCGACCTAAGGAGTCGGCCATCGGGGCAAATATGGCTGGCGCTACTGCCTGGAAGACAATGTACAGAGTAATGGTGAGGTTGATTTCTTGTATGGATGCACTGTATTCGCTCGAAAGGAGTTCAATGACAGGAAGGTAGATGGTTGCCGTAAGTGAGGAGGCAAGCGTCACGTAGCCCAAAAGGGCCACAATATACCGACGTTTGTGAACAGAGAAGCGTGTGTATGGGATCGGTGGCGGAACTGCTTTTTCCTGGCCCATTTTGTACTCTTTTTCAGAATTGCTCATCATTGCCATGATGAAAGGTTGATTCGCGTGCTGTTGAAGTTGGGAAGTCAGTGGAAAGGCTGGAGGATGAGCATTATCTTGGCTCGCAGCCTGCTGATGACGGAGTGAACGCCCCACACACAGTATTCTCACATTTTGACATGCGTGATAGGCTGCCAAAGTACCTAATAACAAGAAACACCCGGCCAGGCATGCATGGTGGAACCGAACACTCTTGATTCGAAGGCTTTCATTAGACGATTGGAATGCATCATTGCATATCGGAGTGTTAAGAAACGAACTAGGTTCTATGTCACAAACACATCGATGGTCAGAACGACCCTGAATTTAACTAGTTACATGCTGTGCTTCCGTGATCCATGTCCAGGCGGTCCACTTGGATCAGGAACGCTGGTTCTCCTTTGGGGGTTCCGCGTTGATCCTATTGAGGAGAGCTGACCCCGGCTCACAAGACCTCGAGAGCTGCTCAGCAATCTCGAATCACTGCCAGGTCGAACAGGGAAAGGCGAAGGCCGTTCGAGCTCCAGTCCACGCTTCACTATCACTAATTCAGAGCCCTTGGGAAATATTATATCTCCGAGACTTGTCACCCACAGCTCAGGCCGGTTATTAAGGCTGAGCCAGTCAGCAGGGATGAAAAAGTGGTGAGTGGCGGATTCGACATCCAGATTCTCTAGTGGGACACTCCAGACCCAACCATCCAAGTGAAGGAAAATCAAGCGCCTCTGATAGGTGCCGATGATGTGGTCCACCTTGTCGGACAATGCTGCAAATTCACGTCGCGAATCCAAGGCCGGGCTCGGCCCTGGACCTGTTGCTTTCCCAAGGCGGTTGCCATCCCAAAGCAGGATCTCGACTGCATCTCGTGCAAGCTGTCGTTGAGCCTCGCAATGAGTTGTAAAGTAAGGGCTGCCGGGGAGGCGAGCCACTCGAATCCTATCCGCATTCGTCATGATGTCTTGAAGGATCATGCCATACTCGGGTTCCAGGTCTTCAAGTAAGGGCAGATCTTCCAGAGCGTTTTCGCATAATTTGAGATCATTCCACGAAAAAGAGAACGCTCGTCCAGCAGAAAACAAAACGACATGGTCGTCAGATGTTGGATGAGTACTCCAGGTATGGCCTGAGACCGAAGTCGTCTTGAATGCTCGAGAGATCGTACCTTTGTGCAATGCCTTGTCTACTGAGAACAGCACATGACGCTCGCCAGATGAGACAAGAAGGCGTGACAGGCCTCTGTTTGTGAGGATCTGATCAACAGCGCCCTCGACGTGTTCATCAAAAATGTCCACGATGCGCCACTTTGATCTGTTGAGCATGACGAGCTGGTAGCAAGCAAGTGTACCAGACTGGTCCAAGCTGACAATGGTATTGCTAACTTCGTCAAATTTGATATGCTTGACAGCAGTCTTATGCGTGAAGAGTGTCTGAAGAGTCTCTCCCTTTGCGCATTCGTAGATCTGTACCGAGCCGTCGTCCTTACCACATAGGATATACTGCCCGTGTTCCATCACCGCAATGCATGTGATATAGATCATATCCATAGCACCGGTGAACTCAACTTCATGCGTGGCTGTAGATAGAGAGAGCGTGTCGCTGTCGTCATCATCAACTTCCTGTCGGAGGAGTGCTCGTGGCTCCCAGACGCGGCACTGCTTTCCACGGATATCAAGTAGACGAAGGTCGTCTCCCGTGAACGCGAGAGCTCGGACGCCAATAAATTCGGCATTGAAAGTGATGCGATAAAGCCGGTGTATGTTTTCGAGGTTGAAAATCTGAATCGTGCCCTCGGCGTCCCCGGTTGCCAATGTTCGGCCGTCGTGGGAACTGGTCATACATAGGGCATTGACTGCTGGGACAGTATTTCTCACAATACCAAGTCTCGTGTCATACAAAACCAGTTCGCCATCGAAATACCCCGCAACCAAGGCATTCGATGTCTGCGACGCGCTGAATGCGAGGCAAAGAATCGTGGATTTACGCATTGGCACCGTCGACGACGCATTGAGGCGTGAGCCACATTCGCGGTTGTAGATATCGTGGAGGCGACGTTCTTCGAAATTCCAAACAAGGAGGTCTTGCGAGCGATACACGATGGCCATAAGACATTGTGAGGCGCTTGTTGCTGCCATGACGGGCCATCTTCTGTCGTAGGCCTCCCTCGATTCCTCGGCATCCGTCCAACGGGCTCCGTCAACCATCTCGTCGGCCTGAATATCCCAAAAGACGAACTGGTTATTTGTCATCGCGATGGCAAGGAGCTCGTCTTCTTCAATGAAGGCAAGTGAGAGGCATCGCACCGGAGTTGGGATGCACGTGAGTAGAGTCCATGATGCAACAGACCAGATCTTAACGGACTTCGGCCCCGCCGTTGCCAAATATTTCTCCTTCGAACTCATAGAAATTATCATTGGTGGCTCTTCAATGTTCAGTCGTCGGATCTCCTGGTAGGTAGATTCGTCGTAGATGATGGCTTCTCGGCCGAGCATGGTTCCAGTTACGAGGAATCGTGTCGAGCTCGCAACCGCCGTGATCGTCTCTCCACGCCGTTGGTTGATGACCGAAGCACAATCATCCCAGGCTGTATTCGAAATTCCCACAATGTGTAGATCTCGAGTTGAGACAAACTGCTGATGAATTATAGAGTCATCAGGACACAAAGGGGGGATCTGGCTTCGGATGGCGCTCGGACGAGCGCGGAGTTGCCGACCAAACTTGGAGACCAGGCGCACAAGGTCAGTTTCCCAGCCTTCCAGTGTCTTTGTATCTTTTGACAGTCCGGTGATCGACGTGAGATCGTTCTGCTTGAGAAGACGAGATATAGTTTTGCCCGCCTGTAACAGTCTTCCCAAGCGCGACTGTGAAGCCAAGTATTCTATCCACGCGAGGACATTGGAGGATGCCAAAAACGCCGCCAAGGGTTGAATGAGTTCGGAAGCATATTCCCCGGATTTCGCAATGTGGTCGAAAACAGCAGTGCTCGCATAATCCATCAGCGCCATGCTTTGCGTCTGGTCAGCGCTGCTTCGACGAAATTTCATCGGCCTCAGGGCGTCCCGGACAGATACTTCAGGCAAGTTAGAGCCAAAGATTTGTGAGCTGTGTTGCGTTGTGTGACAAAATCGGAGACAATTGTTGGGTCTGTCAAGAATTCCTTCACAGTAGCGTGGAGAGGCTGCAGACGCATCTTACTATCGAAGTAGACAAGATGGCCACAACGTCTGGAGACAACCCTTTCCATGTGCGGAATCTCGTCGTTGATATCTATCTCTAGTGCTGACTGAAGCTCCTCGATTCTCAACGGTCTAGACGAGTAGGCTGCCCATTTGAGGATAGCCTTGGCCAAAGGTTGGCTGTGCTGGTCACCTGCCATGGAGACAAGAATGCGTCGATAGAGGGCATCCATCCCTGGTGGTACAGAATCGATGATCCGCTGGGCATCGGCTTTTGAATCTGCTTGTTGAAGCTGAGTGAAGACAAGCTTGACCCAAAGAAAGCAGCCCGATGACTTGGCTAGAATGGTTCGCCCCGTCTTCTCCCTTGCCTCATGAGAGGTGTCGGGAATGGAGTTCAGATTCAGTTGTATGAAGCGAGAAATGCCTTCTTCAATCTCAGCATCTTGGAGATGCTCTGAGATCACATGGCTTTGTGCCTCGAGGGGATGAGCAACCCCAAAATTGGCCCTGGACGTAATGAAGATTGAGAAGGGCCAAAGCTCCTGAGCCCTAAAAAGAAGGTCGACCAGTTCAGAAGGATTCTTGCACTCGTCAAGACCATCCACGACAAGGTGGTATGTGCGGCGAGGTTTTGTTTTGAATATCCGATCAAGGAAGAGGCGGTGCCAGATGGATCTGTGATCTACCGTTCCGGGCTTGTGGCCTTTCCAAAGGCTTGCAGCGTCACAGACGGCCGACATGACATCCTCGTTGCTTGTCGCGAGTTGCCACGCCAGGGAAAGTAGGAATGCAGAGATCGTACACTGCTGCACGTCGCTATGGACGAAAAAGTAGAAGCAACAGTCTTGACCAGTCAAGCTGGCCCTCCGCTCCCTGATCACTAAGCTCGAGAGAATCGTTTTGCCGGCACCCGGCTTACCTTGTACCCAGAGAGTACTCGTGTTCGGGTCTTTTGTCCATTGGGAATAGGTGGGCTTTTCGAGGAACCACGAGAGCGAGCCGTCCAGATACGAGCGGGCTATCTCGGACAGTGTTGTTTCTGGGCTACCGGTAACGCCCAGAAATGCCTCGACTATCTGTCTTTGGTCATCGACGCGGCGCTGACGAGCGACATGACGACCCCTTCGTAACGACTCTATTGTTTTTGCCAGAGAGTTCCGGATCTTGATGTAGGAAGAATCAAGTTTGGACGAAAACCGAGCTACGTCACGGTGATTCGCGTCGAGATAATCAGTCGTTTCATTAGCGTAGTTGAGCTGAGCCATTTGCTTTTCCACAACAAGGCTCTTTCCGATTCCGTAACTCATAGGCTTCGTCTCAAAGAATGAGAAGAGTCGAATCTCATTGGCCTGCTCCGGAAACTCGTTGTTGATGGCCTGAATAGTGGGCGAATTTCGCGTCAATTCTTTGACGAATGGACGTTCGCCAGCCATAGCGAAGACGCGGGCGAGGACCTCGGCCATGTCGGATCCATGATGAGGAGTTGCAAGAAAATAAACAGAGTTTACGCGCTGAGAGATGGAGGCGAAATCCTGTTTTTGCTTCGAGAGCAGGAAAGCTTTCTTCACCACCAGGCCTCCCATGCTGTGCCCGACAAAGATGAGGGGTGGTGCCTTGTTAGGCATTCGTCAGCTCTCAATTTGAGGAAGTTGCAGCAAGGTCACTCACCCATTCTTCTCTCGGTATGGTTGGGCAATCCTTCAAAGAAAGGAGTAAAGATGAAGCAAAATCCTGGATGTTCAGGACGCTCTCCTGCGCCCAGCTCGAGTTGTACCCAAACGTATGGATCCGCGCATCCTGAAAAGCTTCGTCGTGGGGGAGCCATTTAGCTGGCCAGAACTTGTCAGGGTCATCGTCTTGCGTCCAGGTACTGTAGGACCCTCCGTTCAACCCATGGACGAAGATCAAGTCAGCGATACCCGGCACACTGGGCTCGAACAAGGTTGTGAGGCCAATGGGTCCCTTTCCGCCGCCACCGTCGGATCTTGTAGTAGTGTCGCGCCGGGCTACGCTTCTGAGGGTGAAGGCCCGGCGTGCTTTTTGCGTGGACTCTTCATTTTTGATCCTTTCCATCGTCGTGAGACGTTGCTGGTCGAGGAGACTCTAGCGCGACGCAAGCGTAGAGACTGAAGAAGCATTGGAGGTTGTGCGTCAATAGTTGGCCATGTTTGATGCTGCTCCCGACAGAATGGTTGACAGCGTGTCTGACCGTGGAAGGTTATCCCCTAGGTACTTAGCTTGGGGCTCATCGGTCCAGGTACATTCGGGTGATCGGTATGACACTTCTGCAAGTGGCGTAAAATGACATGGGTTCGACTGGACGTCCAGCTGCGATGGTGGCCTCCAGCTGACAGGCGAGCAGTGCGCGTGTGGCACAGTCATGGCACGATTCGGGCATCGGAGTACGATAAATCATGACGACTAAACTCAGCCTCCATTTTCCCCTGTTGTCTTTCTCTCTCCCAGGTGATTGTTCAAGTAGGTAACTAAAGCGATGTTGCGTGCCATGATTTCGGAAGAAACGACTGTGGGCATCACACCAAGTCCACGATTTGGAACATCGGGCTCGCGCTGTGGTATGCCACATATGTATGCATTAGACACATGCTGCAGTGCCATCATTCAAAGAAGGATTCATCGCGTCCAATCGTCGCCGTCTCCTCGACGCCACACGGTGTAGAGCACATGTTGAAGGGCTAAGCCCAGACTTGTGATATTGTCGGGCGTATGCATAAAGGATCATGCGCATGAGGCAGCCCAAGCACCAGGCTGTGGCACAAATACGACACGTCTCTTTCGCCTCCCCACCTCACCCGCCCCGATTCTGTGACCGAAGACTGAGTGTGGGTGCAGCGACGCAGCCTGATCGAAGTCTCAATGTGCCACCAGAACGACCTTCCTGCCGCCTCATTATTGCCAAGCTACGCAGTTACGTTCCCCGCACCAAGTATTATGACGAGCATCTTGATAAATGTGCAATCGCCCCAACACTTGAGCTGCTCTAGGAAGCTCAACGTCAACTAAGGAAAAACAATTCACTCACAATCAGGTGCCGCGACACAACTCTTGGAAGCATAATGACGGACGAGGCCTGGGATGGACTCCCTCATTGGGAGCAAGAGCCAGAAGTTCCAGAAGAATTTGTTACTTACCTGGATGAAAACGTGCAGGCTGGTGAGTTCTCCTGATTCTCGCTGCAACGGGGTCGGCGATGATTGACTTTCAGCTCTAGCACTTCCCAAAGGTTCGGAATTCCTCGAGATCAGCTCCCACGGGGCAAGCTTTTGGACGAGGACAGCCCGCGTGGTGATGGAGGAGGATGAGCAAATGACATCGTATTTCCTCAAGGCAAGTAATCATCATCCACACGCGGTTTCAAGTTGCTGATACGAACCCGCCTCGATAGGTCTCGATCGGCGAAGTAGGGAAAGGCATGGTCAACGGAGAATTCGTCTCCATGAGCGCCTTGCACTCGACGCTCCCGGAACTCGCACCGAAGCCGATTTCTTGGGGCACGTACAAGTCCAACGACAACATACATTTTTTCTTGTGCGACTTTCACGAGATGGATGACCAGCTGTGCTCTCTCGAGACTTTCCCCAAGCTTGTTGCCGAGCTTCATACCAAGGGTATTTCCCCAAACGGGAAATTTGGATTTCCCATTACGACATACCAGGGTCGTCTACCACAGGACACGACGTGGTGCGATACCTGGGAGGAGTGCTTCACAAGAAACATTAACATCATGTTCGAACATGAGCTCGCGTCACAAGGCTTAGATGAGGAATTCGCTGCCCTTAGGGAAAAGGTCATGTCCCAAGTCGTTCCGCGACTCTTGCGACCCATGGAATTTGGTGAGAGGAAGATCCTCCCTCGCTTAGTCCATGGCGACCTATGGGAAGGCAACACCGGGACAGATCTGGAGACAGGCCTGCCGAAAATATTCGATGCATGCTGCCTGTATGCTCATAACGAATGTGAGTATCATCCCAGTTTCAGTAGTGCCAGATATGGTCTGACGGCAATCTTGCAGACGAGATGTCACCGTGGCGACCTGTGAGGCAGAAGATGGGAAAGCCGTACGTCAAGGCCTATCTTAACCATTTCACTGTCTCAGCCCCTGCTGAAGATTTTGATGGGCGCAACATGCTCTATGCCCTGTAAGTAAAGCGACTTCCTGTGTCCATGACTGTGTTGAGCCGAAACTGACGACTTGTCTGACAGCCGTTTCAATGTCTGTTCTTCCGCATTGTATCCCGGAAATACCAACTATCGGGAATTGTGAGTCCAAGTTGCATACTTGATTAGCAACATCAAAAGTAAGCACTGCTGACATGCTTACAGAGTTCGAGGCGAGATGAAGGAGTTGGTTGAACGATTTGGCGAAGGATTTGAGGGGTGGCTTCGGAAGCAAAATGCAACGGCTGCCAATATAAACACGGAGGCCACAGAGGGCATTTTTGGAACGGGCCAGATTGAAGAACGAGAAGCCACGCAATCGGCGTCGTCGATTCCAGCAACTCAAGAAGTCGCAGCAGCAGGTATCCGGGAATGACGCAGGCTGCGTTGCTTTGAGGCTGAGGAGGGCCATGGCTGTTGTCATGTATCCCTGCATAAGGTAGTGAATGTTGCGTCTAAATTGGACTTGGCTTGGGGAATTGAGACCTCACTTTCTATTAAAAGCAATATCTTCTATTCAATCACTCCTAGCTGCGGAGGGCCATAATTCAGATGTGTTCCGACCCACCACCCATCTTCTATTGCCTGCGGAGTACGTGTGGAAGACCTCTTCACTCTGTTTTAAACAACGCTCTGACATCTAAGCCTTTGGGTTTCCGAGTACCTTTCTACGTTGCTTCATCAGGTGGGAGAATAAGATGTATGACGCTGTTACTCATTAGCTCAGTCGCCTTTATGAGTTCCTTGAAAAGTTTCTACTCACCCGGTACGTAAAGAGTGAGAGCAGCATATGTGATGTAGGGCACGACCTGGCTGTGTAACCACCAGAACTCGGTGGCCAAAAGGACGAGTCTGATCTCGCCCAGAATGCCGACGGGATAGAGAACAAAGAACATGCTGTACCGCAACCAAACCAGGGCCCAGGGCAGCATGTCGCTAAGGTGGAATACAAAGTAGGAGTAGCGAATGACCTCAGCGATGCTCCATGCCACGACCATTGCGGTGTAAGCGGGATCCTGTGCAACCTGGGGGAACGGGCGGATGTACGCCCATAGAACGGTGCAACGGCCAGCGACCTGGACAAAAGTCGTCAAGACAGGAGCGCGAACGACGCCTTTACACCCGCGCGACACTGGTTAGCGGCCCGAACCTTATGAGATCGATAACAAGGAAACATACCGAGCAGCGAGTGAATGACCTCCATGCCGGCGGCACTCTGTGCCCACAGGGTCCAGCTCGCTACGGCAAGAGGCACTGCGGATGGTCCGTGTCTGCTGTAGACGGCGACGGTCCGGAAGAGGATGCTGGCCCAGATGCTGGCGGAGACGGCGTTGTAGAGGATGAGGTAGCCGTTCTTCAGCGGCGAAGCCTGCGGTTTCCGCGACTCGGATGCCTTGCTTGCCATGGCGTGACGGTTCGGCTCTGACTGTTTGATGAAATAATCGTAAAGTAAAAACTGGCACGGTGAAATTTCTTCGGTGGTGAGCCTCGGCCTCGGTGTTGGAATGGCTCACGCTGGTGATGATTGGCCCACATGATCGGCCGGCCGGGGATGATGTCCAGATCCATCGTTCTTTTCGGGCAGTGAAGACCCGCTTTTCTCGGAACTCAGGAACTTTGAGCAGCCCAAGCCAGATGCTAGATCGACTCCTACCACACACGCCGCCTCCATGCACTCTTGTCCCCTCGTAGAAACTTGTCTGGGACTTGATGCCAATATTCAGGTTGTTGGCAGTCGAAGTGAGATGTATCTGGTAAGAGGGCCCTTCACTCCGACGACATTACACTGAGATCCGTTCTGTCACCACTCGTCGCCAACAAGAAGAATGTTGACAGTTGAAGAAAAAAGCCATGCTTCTCGAGGCAGCGAATGAAGCTTGAGACTCATACTGGGAGCAACACACATATCGAAATGAGCTCCTGATCATCTTGAGCGGGTCGTGCAAATGAGTTCGTGAGGCATGTATCTGGCCAACGCGGCACAATAGGCCATACAATCCTCTCATATCTGAAAATCCTGATCCATCAGATACTCAGAGAAGACGCTCCCCCCCGTGTTGAATATGTCCCAAACATCCTGGCTTAGCGGTGGGAATACAATCCCCTGCGCCTCAGCTTGGGCCATGCCATGTCCTCGGCCATCACTTGCGGCAAATTGCCGCACAAGACGGCCCATCTCTTCCTCGATGTCTTTTGGACCCTCAGGCCACCGCTCAAGGTCAGCCAAAGCGCCAATGAGCTTGACTCCCCGCGCAGCAATGGAGCTCGCGTGCTCCTCACGCTGCAAAAAGTCTTTGGTGAAAGAAAGCAAGTTCCGGAGCTTGGACACGTCGTACATCAGGGGGTTCTCGTTTTTGAAGACAAGGGCAAAGACCAGATTGACTGAGCAGGATACAACTTGGGTTAGGGTCGTCCACATCCGGCGCGCGATGCGCGTCTCGGTTGTGTCAGGCCACGCTTGAATGGCTGTCAGAGCACGCTCAACAATGGCGAGGCAGGACATCTAGAAGTTCAGCATGTGTCACGGATTTCTTAAAGCTGGCTGAAGGTAGCCTACCTGAGTAAAAGCAAAGCGCCTGTCCCGAAAACTCAGCAGCTGAAAGTGCCGATGTACGCTGAGGATCTTGGGATAACACATCATGTGAGTTTGCATCACACGCAGATACGATTTGAGGACAAGTTCAGAAAATCTCACCTTGTGCGCAGTGCAAAGTAGCAGGAGTCCCGGCATCGGAACTGTAGGAAGGCATTCATTGGTTCCAGCCTGAACCGTCGAAGCATCCACCTCGCGCATGAAGAGCGGCCAGGTGGCATAGAGGTGTTTAATCTCTCTGTCGGCCCAGATGACGTGCTCATACAAGGCTTCAAGCGTTTGCGAACCTCCTCCTTGAGCGTTGCCTGCATTTATTCGGTCCTGGTGCTTCCATATGAGAACTGATACTGCAAGGGGCAGAATAGCACCTCGTGATCAGCAAGGATATAATGTTGCTAAAGATCGGGTATCATGAGAGATGACGCACCTTGGTCCATTGTGACTGTCCAGCGAGTTGAAGTAGGCACGTGGTCTGACTGAGTGTCAACCATTCCATCCCGTATCATGCGTTCGAGTTCGTCAAAGCAGTTCAGAGGCATGGGCGTGGTGAACTGTGTGGGATGAATCTGGCAAATGTTCTGAAACGGAATTTGCAGCCAGTCGTATCGCACGAGAAACCACCAGATACGTTTCTGGATCTCCCGCTCCACAAGCTCCTGGTCACTCCTTTTTCGTCCAGTGCCATTGGTTGTTGCTGTGGTAGGGGCGTCTTGTCCAAGGACGTGAAGATTGAGGCACTGAGATATGCGTATGGCTGTAGAGACGAGTATGCAGACCATGTCGGATTTATCAAAATTATGAGCCACTTGCAACAAAAGACAAATAGCCTGAATAGACGTGATTCTGTGATCGGACATGAAATTTCCTTGGAATAGCAGATCAACACTCTTATCCAGGAGAGTGCGTGTCAGGTCTACTCCGGCTATGGATTGGTCAGATCATCCTGCTGATAAAGGGTTGGAGCGTACAAACAAACCATAGGACTGCAGTTCATCAGCAAGTAGAGAACTCCCTTCTACATGATACAGTGTGTGCTGTATACATCATGTCGTTAGCAATAATTGCAAGCAGTATCGAGGGATACCGAAGGCAGTAAGCAGAACTTACTGCCAGAATAGCGTAGTACAACGCCGCCCACAACCTGTCGCAAGTGCCAGCGAGAACGCAAGCCTCAAATTCATGCCCAAAGGTCGGCAGGTGGACAACTGTATGCATCCATGCCAAATAGGTCTGATGAACCCGGAGCATCTCTCGACACAACCCAACTGGGTAAAATGGGTCGAATGGCATGTCCCCTCGAACAAGTGTCTCCGTCGTAGATGGGGAGCGGTGGTCTGTTTCTAGAATTCTTCTAAGAACATTTTGGCGACCATGAGCAAGGAACTCGAGCGTCGAGGCCGCTTCGTCCGTTAAAGGATCGCCTGTGAGACGACGATTGCCTGAGACCTGGGATGCGATATCCGCGGTGGGTTCTGGCGGACAAAATTCCCTGTCACTGCTCTCAGATGGGCGTCGCGATGCTCCTGTTCCGGGAATTCGAGCATCGTTCGTTGACGCCCTGGCGACTACTGACGCTTGACTTGATATACCAGCGGCAATTTGACTGGCTCCATAGCGCACATCGTCATGAATCGACGCCGAATTACCAACCTGCGACGCGCTCTCCGCGGCCGCTGTGTTTTCTCTGGCCGTCGCACCTGATTTTGCGCGCAGCGTAGTGGACCGTGGCGCCGAGCGCCGCGCCGTGAGCGCCACTGGTTCTCGGCGGCAGAGGCTCGCCTTATTCTGGCGAACGCAGCCGTCACATGGGATTGACTTGGAGCAGCGGATCTTTCGTCGCACGCACTCGGTACATGCCAGCACGGTCCGTTGACTGCTGCGTGTCTGCGGCTGATTCGCCATGGGTTGTTTCGTTGCGTCGTCGCTATTATGCGTGGCACCACAGACTCACAGGGATGCACCTGTGGATTGCTGTGCTTTCTCGGGTGAGCACAACGATGTGAGAGACAAGTCGGCCGAGTTCCAGGTTGGGCAATTGTCAAGACGTGGTGTAGAATGTAGGCTCGGCCGGGACGAGCCTGACACCAAGTGGGTCCGTGTCACGGCCGAGCAGTGTGCTGGTGACTCTCGAGGACGAGCAGAGCATATCGTGTTCCTAGAAAGAACTGCCTGTACACAGAGTATATATTATGGGCAATGTGCCATTTTGATTGATCTTCGTCAAACATGATCACAGTCTTTCCTATCTTCAGACTCTCGACACACGAAGCAAAACCTGATCGGATTAACATTCCTTACCAGGCAGGCCTCTCGCGCGCTTCGTCAGCCTTTCTTCTTCATCACCATTTCCAATATCGTCTCTCATAATTCTGAAGATATGGAAACCGGCCTTCAATCGTCTACAATTTCGGCAGAGCCCCTTGAGTCAACTGCCACCCATGAGCCCGCTGCCGTGGCTGCCACCGATGAGAACCTTGTTCCGCGCAGGACAGTACTGTGTGTTTACTGCGGCGCCTCGGACGGCAACAAGCTTGTTCACATGGAAGCAGCCCGGGAGCTTGCGCGCCTCATGGCTGCAAATGACATGCACCTAGGTTGGCATCCCAAGACATATTTGACGCAAAACTTGGGCCTCTCTGACAGTTGTCTTTAGTCTATGGTGGTGGAACTGTCGGCCTCATGGGAGAGGTCGCGAAGACTCTTGTGTCTCTATCCGGTCCCGGTGCCGTTCACGGCATTATACCAGAGGCCCTGGTCAAGTACGAGCGGAGCGACAAGATGCACGATGCCAGTCCTGGTCTACAGGTCCCCGACGAGAGCATCTACGGTCGCACCACCATCGTCAACGATATGCACACCCGTAAGCGTATGATGGCCCGCGAGGTCTTCAATGGCGGGCCCGGCTCAGGGTTTATTGCTCTCGCTGGCGGATACGGTACCATTGAGGAAATCCTCGAGACCACCACGTGGGTTCAGCTCGGTATACACTCGCGGGGTGTATGTCTTTTGAATACTGATGGCTTTTACGATGGCATTCTTTCTTGGATCGAACATGCCGCGGCGGAAGGTTTCGTCAAGGGCGACAATGCCAGCATCGTTGCGACTGCCACAGACGCCGCTGGAGCCATTGCCGCGCTCGCTAGCTACAAGGTCCCCAGCACGACTTTCAAGCTCAAGTGGGATATGGCTTGATCTTTCCAGCTGGATGCTGTGATGGCGCGGAAGGAGGGGAGGCACTTACATTTGGTGTCCACTACGTGCACTGCCGTTTGCAAGTCTGCTTGGACGGCTTCACGTATCGAATGCGTTCAATACCGTGAAAATACCCTGAAAATAGAGAGACTGTGTCGTCACGGGGCAGTGCAGCGAGAACCTTGACGAGTCTCGAAAGCCAGAGAAGAGGCGTGTCTATGATTGTGTTTGCATTGGTGATGGTCAAGGTGGAAGGGTTGGAATAATATATGCAGATGCCCATATATCTAAGGTACCTACCTAGGTACCTACGCCAGGTATTGGCGGCAGGCAGTTCAGGCCATGTCGTCGCTACAGAGGCGGCGGAAAGCAGGGCCGACAGGGCGTTCTCGGCCGTAGCGCGATCTGTCATTGTAGCGAGATGGGTCGAAGAGAAAGAGCCTGGTCCTGGCTCGTGCCTCTTTCTGCCAATCATCAGACCTCGCCTCGCCTGGACAAGACCCCTCGCCAGGTCAATGTGAAACCTGATTTTGCTTCAACCACCCCCTCTGCCCACGTCAACGTCATCTCAACGCTCCATGGATGCCATTCCGAATTGTCTGGGCAGGTTTCCAGTGCACCGACCAGTCCAAGGCTCAGGAACGGGATCAACGGCACCGACCCAAGCCTCCAAGAAGATGGCCCTCACCTGCTTTACGCCTCAGAGGCACGACCGCGGACCATGCTCGCTGGCGACCAAGCACTTCGGCGAGCTGCCATCCGTTAGCGCCACGAAGCATTAAAGCATCTTGCCTAAGATCATGCAGTGAAGATTCGATCGGAAGGGCGACGGTGATGGGCCTGATAACACCCACGTCGCACACCAAGACCTCTCTCGTGCCATTTCGATTTGCGACATCTTCATCTTTCCGCTGCAAACATCAGAGTGAGAGTCATTCTACACACTACCTTCATCGCCGAGTGTCGAAAGACTTCTTCGCAAATACTGTTCTTCCACCCTGGTGTACGGGCTCATTTCCCAGACCCCTCCATCTATGCTGCCAGACTGAAACTCCACCCTTCCGCTTCCCAGACCCCGGTCTGGCCCATTGCATCGCAGTTGCGAATCTGTCGGATCGCTGTACCGCTCCGTGGGGTCCGTCTCAACGCCTCAAAAGTTGTTCCACGCCCACCGAACGGCCCTTCTGCTCGCCCGTCTATTTCGCTCCCTCCTTGCCGTCCCTTTCCCCCTTTGCGCCTGTACCTCTTCGGCATGCTCACGGTCTTCTCCCTTGTGGCTCTGTTGCCATTGCTGGCGGCCGCTGCTGACGGCGACGACTATGCACAAAACTTCACAATCAATAACGGCCAGATCTACACGCCTGGTCTCGCTATTCTGAATGCGCCCCAACCCGGCACCCCTCTGGGAGGAGGTCCGTCAAGTGACTAAAGTCTCGCGATGGTACACTTGCTAACATGCGCAGAGAACCTCCACGTCTCGCTGGACGTGACGACCAACGGCGAAATCCCGTTGCCGCCCTACGCCGATGACAGCCCCTCGGGCATTTTCAACATCACCATGTTCCTGTCGAGCTATGTCACGGGCCGCAACTTCACCATCTCCAACGGCACCGCCACCGAGAACAACCACACCCTCGGCCCCATCATGCTCCAGGAGCCCGGCAGCACCGTCAAGCACGTCAACTGGCTCTTCCCCCGCTGTCTCGTAGGCGACGGCCAGCCCTCGGGTGACGATAGCGACCGCGGCCTCTACAACATTTCGATCCGGCAAAACTTTCGTCTCAACGGCGAGGATCACTACACCATTTTTGACGTCCCCGTGCGGTTGACGAACAGAATCGAGGAGAGGGACGACCGGCCCGACTGCGACGCGCTGGACAACCCGCTGCTTTCGCCCGAGGAGCTCGACGTCAACGGGGCCAACGCCGTTGGCATTTTCGCGGCGCCTGGCGGGTCCACGGAGATCGAGGTCAAGCCTGCGAGCGAGGACGGCAACGGCAACGACAATGATAACGACAATGGAGATTTCGGCGAGCTGAAGCCCGATGCACGCCCCGGCGACGGTCTTGGCGCCGCGGGTGCGCTCAGCTGGAGGAGCGGCGCCAGCTGGCTATCTGTGGCGGCGATCGGATGTGCTCTGGCCATGTGAGGATGGATGTTCTCTTGTCATTTTTTTTCCGGTCTGCACTGCTGAGAAGTTTGCTGCTCTCTTCGTGATACCCGGCGGTGCTGTTCTTAGTACTTAATCTGAGGGTTTGGTTTGATACCAGGCTTTGCTGTTTCGCAATTGGTCTGCATGTGTTCGTGATGCTTCGGAAAGGTGACGAAAGATGGCTCACGGACGTTACATTGTTGTCAAACCATGCTGTTTGCTAAGCTTGTATTTACCGAGGTTCACTTGAGATCATCGTTGCCTCGATCACCTGCCAATTAGTTAACCTCGTTCCCAAGTAGGTTGAAAAATAAGGTCGCATTGCAGATTACCTCTATACTCACCAATTGAATCATTTCCATCCCCCTGTCAGTGCAACTTTCGCAACGTCCTTTTCCCAAGGGGATTAACACGAGAGGCGCGGACCCAATGCCCGCCCCGCAAGCGAGCTGGTTCCCCTAAACGGGTTAAGACGCGCGGGCGACGCTCCCTTCAAATGCACGATCGGCCTAGCGCGGCCTCCGCTCCTGGTGTTGGTGCTTCGGCTGGTGCCTCTGGTGGCGCTCGTTGCCCTGCTCGCTAGGAGCACGTCCAGCCTCCCCCGCATTTCCACACAGCACTTGCATGGACCTCGGTGTTTGCGATCTGAAGAGGGGACGAATAGCTTGCTTGTCTGAGCAATCGTCCGATTTCCAATGTTAGGAGGCAGTGCCATGGGTACATCGGGGGACGAGGAGCGAGCCGCCAGGAGCATGTACCCCCTTCGAGCTGCACTAACTGAAGCTGTGTTCCTCTACCCTGCATGCCCGACACCCTGGGCGCGTGCTGGATGATGATGAGCTACAGAGAAGCTGTTCCTATTAGTAGTCTGGTGTCTCCTTCTCGCTGGCGTGCTGCCTCGCTCGTTCCCATATCTCAACGTACGAAATCGTGACTCGGGCCTCGTCTACAACGAATTGCCACGCACCCTATTTCACTACCGAAGACCACTCACCATGCCGATGCACCAGGGTATCCTCCCTCGCGAGGGCCTCACGGCGGATCCCATCTTCTCCCTCCTCGGCCGCACAGCCCTCAACCCCAGCGTGCTGCTGCCGCTCGTGCTCCTGGCGCGCTACACCAAGAAGGGCGGCGACCTGGCCATCCTCTACCCCACAGCATTTGCGCGCATCAAGCTCCTCCTCTACGCTTCGCTCGCCCGGTGGGCCAACGCCTGGTTGTCGGACCGCGTACTCAACAACTGGACGAGCGACCGGTACGACTGGCGGCGCGAGATTGTGCTCGTGACGGGCGGCGCCGGCGGCATCGGCGGGCACATTGTGCGCCTCTTCGCCGAGCGCAGCACGCAGGTCATCGTGCTCGACATTCAGCCCATGACCTTCTCGGCGGGGCCCAACGTGACGTACGTACAGTGCGACCTGACGTCGACGGCGGCGGTGCAGGCGGCGGCCGACGAGGTGCGGCGGCGCGTCGGCGACCCGACGGTGCTCATCAACAACGCGGGCGTTGCGCGCGGCAAGACGGTGCTCGAGGCGTCGGAGCGCGACATCCGCTTCACGTTTGACGTCAACGCGCTGGCGCACTACTGGACGACGCAGGCGTTCCTGCCGGCCATGGTGCGGGCGAACCACGGCACCATCGTGACCGTCGCGTCGTTTGCCGCCTTCCTCGCCGTGCCCAACATGGTCGACTACGGCGCGTCCAAGGCGGCGGCCATGGCGTTCCACGAAGGCCTCACGGCCGAGCTGACGACGCGCTACAAGGCGCCCCGCGTCCGCACCGTGCTCGTCAACCAGGGCTACACCAAGACGGCCCTCTTCACGGGCTACAACCAGGACACGCCCTTCCTCATGCCGGCGCTCGAGCCCGAGACGGTCGCCGAGGCCATCGTTCGCCAGGTCCTCACGGGCCGCAGCGGTCAGGTCATCGTGCCCGGCGCCGGCGCCAGCCTTGCCGGTCTCCGTGCCTACCCGCACTGGTGGCAGGTCAGGCTGCGGGCCCAGAGCGAGAAGCTCATGTCGAGCTTCTCGGGGCGGCAGGTCGTCAAGGATCTCGACAAGCACTACGACGGCAGGGACAAAGAGGCAGACGAGAGCACCGTGCTGGTGAAGTAGGGGTCGTGGCATGATGATGGACGTAGGTTTTCTTTTGTGAGACGATGTTCGGATATGATGTTGAATGTAATGCGGAAGGTTTCTTCTGGTTGATCATCCATCTGACCCGACAGTTGGGTTGCATTGTGCGGCTCACCTGCGTGTCAGATATTTCCTGAGTGGTCGGGAGAATATGTAAACCAATGCAGTGCCAATGTATGTTCTTTGCGATGCTACCAGATTGCCACAGGGCTAAGATACGACTCGCCGTCTCGGCAATGCTGTGTAACCATCTCGTTGCATCGTCAGGCCATGAATGTCTGTCTAGCAGGTGAGGAGCTAGACAAATGTCGGAATACTGAAGCCATCACCATCAAGGGAAGGAACCCCCCAGCACCTGAGTGGAGAGCTCTCAGAGCCACAGCGCCGGTTCCAGAACCCCCTCCCACAAGGTGCCGTGACGGGCCCACTACAGGGTCTCCTCAGGGGGGTTCGGCCCCTCAGGAGGGTCCAACCCCCTGTACCGTACCTTGCCTTGTAACACCTCAGCGCACAAGACGACGGCAAGCGCAACCCCGATCTCCAGTGACAGAAAGACCGGGACCCGCCGTGATGGGAGAGTCGTGGGAAGCCACGGGCTATCGTGCAGGGCAAGAAGTACCCCGCGGAGAGGGGCAGCCTCCGATGCGACCAATCACGGGGCGATGAAATGTCGCGGCGCGGCGTGGGGAAGCAGGAACGTGGCCAGGGTGGTCCCTTCTGCGAAAATCAGCCCATTCTCACTCCACGAGCCTCGTGAAGTCATGCCATTTTTTTTGGGCAAAGGACCACCACCGCCTTCCTCGACTGGGCTCGCGAGGCGGCTTGCCCTCTCTCTTCTCGCACCATCTGCCCGCTCCCCAAAGTCCGCTCATGTCCGGCTAGTCCGATTGATAGTGATTGATACATACTTTACGCTAGCAGCTCGCCCTGAGCTGTGCTAGTTTGTTGCTCTTTTACCCTTTCTTTCTCCTGCTGCCGGAGGCGTCGTCAAAGTCAACCTCCAACTCTGGTCGTTTGTCGATCCCCGGATTGCGCGTCTGCCTGACCCTGAACCCCCGATAGCAAACGACCGAGCTCGGTTCGACTGCTCCCAGTGACGCTCCCCGACACCTTGGTCCCTTCTGCTCCACCTCTCGCGTGCGAGCAAGCCCGCCCGTCTGGCATCCTGCGCCGGATCGACGACTTCCTGAAACCGATATCCCAGCCGGCTCGTGCTGCCGCCGAACGATCGCGAACCGTAACACGAACCCGCCCAGAGAGGACAAGGAATAGCACACCTAGATAATTTGAGCCTTGAGAGAAAAACTGTCAAGAGACGAAGACGGAATAAGGAACGGCGCATCACGTCCGCCTTGTCAACTCGCAACACACCGCCGCCGCCGCTGTCGCGAACAACGACAACAATACTTCAAGCCATGGTGCCGAGCGCCATGCAGTCGGAACCCTCGATGGAGGACCGGCAATCTGGCGTCGACCGCCTCCAGACCAACTTTGAGAGCTCCTCGGATACCCTCACACTTCTGCGCAGCTTGCCCGAGCCGCCAATCGAGTCGCAGGTATGCGTAATTGGTGCTGGCCCGGCAGGTCTCATGCTTGCAGCCAACCTGGGACGCATGGGCGTCAAGGTAGAGGTTGTTGACGAAAGAGCTGATCAGACGCCTGTGGGCAGGTGAGTCTTTCTTGATGGAACCATCCCCATGCGATGACCACACATGCTAACTCTGCTCTCCGCGCAGGGCGGACGGATTGCAACCCAAGACAATCGAGACGTTTCGACAGATGCGCCTCGCGGACCCCCTGCTGAAGCGCGGCGTTCGAGTTTATGACATCTCTTTCTGGAGGAGTACCGCCGAAGAGCCGCTGCACAGGCTGGGTCGCGAGGTGCACTACCCGCCCGTCATTGACGTCCTGGACCCGTACATTCTGCTGGTGCACCAAGGCATGGTGGAGAGCCTCTTCATTGACGACCTGAAGAAACGCGGCGTTGAGGTGCGGAGGAACACGGCTTTTGAGTCGTTCAGTGTCCCGGAGAACAAGGCCGGCCCATTGCAAGTGAATTGCAAGGCCAATGTCACCCAGGACCGGAGGACGATATTGACACAGTACCTTGTCGGCTGTAAGTTCTTGTCGCCTTGGCGCTATTTTCGCGACGCGACAGCTGACTGACTTGACAGGCGATGGTGCGCACTCCAAGGTCCGCAAGAGCATCCCCGAGGCGAAAGCCATTGGCCTTTCGCAGGCTGCCGTCTGGGGTGTGCTCGACGGCGAGCTGATCACCGACTTTCCCGATATCTGGTCCAAGACTCTCGTCTACTCTCAGGAGCATGGATCCATCCTCATCATTCCTCGCGAACGCAACATGACGCGATTCTACATTGAGCTGAAGTCTGCTGGCGCCAAGGTCGATAGACAGCAGCTCGGCCAAGAGTTTGTCATGCGCCGCGCCAAGCAAATCATGGCGCCTTACAACGTCGATTGGAAATACATCGAGTGGTTCGGACGCTACCAGATTGGCCAGCGTGTCGCCAGCCGTTTCTGCGACTCGCACCTGCGCGCTTTCCTCGCCGGCGACGCCTCGCACACTCACTCGCCCAAAGCCGCTCAAGGCATGAACACGTCCATGCACGACTCATGGAACCTTGCCTGGAAGCTCAACCTCGCAGTAAGAGGCCTTGCCAAGCCCTGCCTACTTGAGAGTTATGAAGAGGAGAGGAGGAAGATTGCTCTTGACCTTGTCAACTTTGACTATGAGCACGCCAATCGCATCGCCGGTGGTGACGCTGTTGCTTTGTCCGAGAACTTCAAGACCAACGTGCGTTTCATCTCGGGCGTCGGCGCTGAGTACGCCGAGAGCCCTCTCAATCAGACGGAACCCCAGGGTATGCTCATGGGTGACGCCCGGCCCGGTTGCCTGCTGCCACCGGCCAAGGTGACACGCTACATCGACTCAAACCCCGTCGACATTCAGCTCGACATTCCCATGATGGGCCAGTTCAGAATCTACCTTCTCATGTGGGACATCCAAGCATCCAACCCATTCCTGGAGACCTTCTGCCAGGCCATCGCCTCGACAAACTCGTTCATCAGCAAACTGTCCGCCGCCGCCAGTGCCTCATACGCGGCGCAACCCCGTCTGCCCTCCTCGGAAGACATCTACTCGCGGCCGGAGCGTTACACTGCCGTCAGCCACCTCTTCACCTTTGCCCTCATTAGTAAGTCTCCTTTCCATCTTGCAATGTTCGACCATGCATGCTAACAATTCAGCTACAATGCCGAAAACCGATGTCGAGATCTCTGATCTGCCTGCCCTCTTGCAAGACAGCCGTTGGACCTTCTATCTTGATGACATTCCTGAGCAGGATACACGCGGCACACTGTGCACGAACAAGTGGCTCGGCAGTCTCGGCCCCGGCGAGGTCGCCATTGTCAACGTTCGCCCCGATGGCTACGTCGGCTCCGTCGGAAGGTGGGACTCGAGCGTTGACGACTCGGGTGTCGAGGCGGCCAGGTGGCTGGACAGATACTACGACGCGTTCTTGCAGCTGCCTAACGGCGGCGGGGCGGCAACAAGGTCGCCTTCTGCATCTGCGGCGGGAACGACGCCCATGGCGACCGAGTAGAGTAGCGTCTCCCTCGGGGAGGCATGATGCCGTGCTATCTTGGACTTGGTGTTGGGGCGCCGATGTGCTTTCTTGACCGGTCAGCCCATCTTGGGGGGGTTCTCTTTGCAATTACGTGGAGTCGGGCCAGACTAGAAGACTGTTCATTTCAGGAATTTGGGTTCGCAGGGGGTAGATATATTCGAACCGATGCCAAACAAATTTGGACAACGCTCTATTAGACGAGAACACGACCAAATGGAACATCTTTTAATCTCTTACTTTGTTACACCAGCCTGAGAAATACTGATGTGGCGTTCGGGCGAGGGTATGCAACCAGTATTAGACGAAACTACTGCAAACCGACCTGTCCGTGCAAGGTAAGAACACAGAGTCGTCATTCGAGCTCTTCGCAACAATACTGCACGATGTAGAACCGGCAAAAGAGTTCAGGACAAGCTGGTCCCTACATCTCTACCGCCGATTCGAACTCGCGTGCTCAGAGGAGGAATGGGGGGGACATCAGGGTTAATCACGTCAATCGTTTTGGGTCCGTGGGGTGTGTGTTCGGCGAAGTGCAACGTAGTGAACCGCTCGACCATGGAGGACCGGGGAGGGGCGTCGATTGTCGTTGGGCAGAGTCCGCTGGTCTGCGCTTATGAAGGGTGGTGGGAGGGTTTGGCTGATTGGTGTTGGTGGTGAGGGGGCGTGTGCTGGCTTGGGCACTATGAGGGGTCACGAGGGTGAGATGGAAGAGGCCCAGGCCAGGTCGATCTGCTTTTGGTGCTCACCTTACAGCCCAAACATGGGGCGAATCCTGGGCTCTCTTGGGCCATAAATGTTGAACCAGATTCTGGGCATGAGTTTGAACATGTGCGCAGCTCCCCGTTTTATCTCTGGCATCGAAACGGAAGAGCGATGGATGTATGGATCGTACCATGACCTATTGAGGTAGGCATCTAGGTAGACTCAGAAATAGAGTACAGTCACGACCGCACCAGGAGTCTCGCCTATCATCCATCGCTCATCACCCGCGATCTTCCCCTTTTCCATGATCCGCCTCCACGTCCCGTCCAGGGACCGAACTTGTCTCTGTAGGGCCCCATCGACGTCGGCCGAGTTCGCGCCTTCTCGCGCGTCCGCTCTCGAGACGGAGCTGGCCGTGCCCTGCTCCGGGTCCCTGTTCACACTGACATACTCCATGGACAAGCACTGCCGCGCATCGAAGCGCGACCCCGCCAAGCGGTCCACGAGCTGCGCGACGGTGAGGGAAGGCAAGCCCTCGTGCAGCCAGCACGGCGCCCAGCCGGGCCACGCATCCTCTTCTTGCACGGCGAACGCGTTCCCTCGACAGGCCGGACTGACCGCGTTGCCGCTGCACTCGTTCACCCAGACGGGCCCGTTGCCCTGCAGCGGGATGCCGGTGGCGCATACGCTGTGAAGGCGGCGTGGGGGGAGACCGGACTGGGAGGCCGCGGCCCAGAGGTGCTCTTCCGTCAGGAAGAAGAGGTGGCCTGTCGACTGCCCAGTGTGGGGATCGCGGGTCTCGCTGTCGAGAGCGACAGAGCGCAGTGACGGCGTGTCGGACTGGCGGAGACCCCAGAGCGCGAGATGTTCGTTCGTAATGTTGCGTATAACGTCTGGCTCGACAGGCGCGACGGAGATGCAGGACTCTGTCTTTCGGGGGTTGCCAATGTCCCAGACCGTCAGGCGTTCGAGCGGGCTGTCTTCGCCCCAGGGCGAGCGATCGGGCTGCCACAGATAGAGGGCGTAATGGGTTGCATTGTGGGCACAGTAGAAACGATCGCTGGTGGCAAATGGGAAGCCTAGGGAGTGGGTTTCCCACTCGGCGCGAAGAGCGAAATGCCATCTTTGTGGCTTGGATCTCTCTCCCTCTGCAGCATCACCGGGCTTCGAAGCACCCAGGTCCGGCAGTGTGTCGTACTCCCCCTTGTGTGTCCACACGTCAAATACTGAGGCGAAGTGGCGATGGACGCCTTCGCCTTCGTTTAGCGGGTGGAAAGCCTCCCGCTCTGCCCACTCAAAAACAAGCACTCCGTGCTCGAGTCTCACTCGCCGTACTATACGACCTTTCGTGGTGAATGGCACAATTTGCGAGCTGCCCAAGGCTACATCCAAAGCACAGTACTCCTGGCTGGGTAGCCGGTACACAAGCAGACCCTCGCCGGAGCCGTAAGCCCAGACGACATCGTCAGAGTACAAGGGCCTTGTCAATCCATCGAAACGTAGAATGGCGTCCCAACGTTTTTTTCTCTCGAAACAATGCTCAGCTGGCGGCAACGGAATCTCTCGCGCGGAGAAAAAGGCGACTGTGGTCTGATGATGGTGACGGCGGGCAGCGACGGCGAATACGACAGACCAGTCTTTCGCCCGCACCACTGCGTCTTCCGCGTTTTCGCGCAGCCTTCGAAGTAACCTGGCTTCTCGCGAACGTGGCAGCATGGAGAGCAGGAGATGCTTGCAGAGATTTGCACGCGTCAGCGCGCGATGAATGCTCCGGCTGATGAGGCGGCATCGGACCACTTGGGATGGCAGCAGTAGCTCGAGTATCAGAGGAGAAGGCCCTCGGGAAGGCTCGTAAGCAAATCCATGACGATCGCCGGATGCAAAGTCGAGAGATTTTAACCTTTGGATGGAAGAGTGATCGACATGGAGTTTAAGGTATAGGATAGGTGCCTAGGTGCTCAAGGCAGTCGGGTCCAAGGTGGGAGGTCCGAAGGACGCAGCTATAAATCGCTGATGGAATTCAACTCGACGTCCGACGCATGAAATTGCAAAGTTTCTACCAACGCACTTTGAGTTGAGTATCCTGATAGCATTGAGGAAGAATGAGTACCTTTTTAGGGGAGTTGAATGTCGTCGGATGATGTTACGAAGTGGGGGTGAGAGGGGCTGGCGACAACCCTGGAGCCTTGTCCAGACAGGGCGCTTCTATTGGCCAAACTGACGGATGGCTTTTTTGAAGACCCAATCAACAGCAGTGGACGGCCTGCAAGGCTGACTTGGATCAGAGAAAAAAAACTTCTGGAGTACACACTTGGGTGGTGCATTCGGTAGCGCCTCTCGACTGTCACCACCGCCAACCACCACCCGACATACTCAACCATGGCCGACAAGCAGGAGCTTGAGGATTTTTCCGACGATTCCTCCATTGCGGAGGAGGTCGATCTCTCCGATGACGAGTCCGACCAGGAAGTCGACGTCTTCAACCTCACCAAAGCTCCCGTCGCAGAGAAGGACGCCGAGGAGGAGGAGCTCGAGCGCCTGGTCCTCGGAAGCAAAGCGAGCTTCCGCCAAAACCTCTTCAGCAACGATTCCCTGGCCGACTTTGATCTTCTTGAGAAGGAACGCCAACTACAGCTCACCAAGGCTGACGAGCCCAATCTCGAAGGCGTCGACGATGCCGACCTTTTCTTCGTCGACGCCGCGCCCAGTGCACCCGGCCAGCACAGCACACAACCGAAGAAGACCGAAAAGGAGGCTGCAGCATCGGCCGCCGCGCCGGCCTGGGAGGATAGTGATGACGAGCGATTGACTGTATCGCTGGCGGGCGTGTCACAGCTGCGCAAGCTGCGTATTGCCGAGAGCGAGGATGTGGTCACAGGAGCCGAGTACGCGCAGAGGCTTCGACGCCAGTACCTGGCGCTGAACCCCCTCCCAAAGTGGGCTAGAGAAGCCGAGGGCAGGCCTGCCAAGAGGAGAAGAAGGTCGTCCGCTGCGGCGTCAGATTCGTCCAGCAACTCCGACGATGACGATGCCGAGGAGAGCGACAGTGAGCTTTCTGCGGCGCCGCTGGAGAAGCTGCTGCGCGACGTCGGTCGTCTCGCGGGCAAGGACGACGGCAAGAAGAGGAGGCTGCGGCCCGAGGTCATCGACATTCAGCGAACCCGCCCCTTACCCGACACACACAAGGCCGCCGTCGGCAACCTCTCCTTCCACCCCGAGTATCCCGTGCTGCTCTCGTCGAGCGTCGCGTCGGTACTTTTCCTCCACCACATCAACCCTACGGCACACCCGACACCCAACCCCATGTTGACCTCGGTGCAGGCCAAGCAGATCGACGTCAGGAGAGCCGAGTTCCTCTACCCCGGCGGCGATCAGATTTTCTTCGCCGGCCGCCGAAAGTACTTCCACAGCTGGGACCTGCAGTCAGGCCTGGTGCAAAAGACGTCACAGATTCAAGGCCACAATGCCGAACACAAGTCGATGGAGCGCTTCAAGCTCAGCCCCTGCGGACGGTATATGGGTATCGTGGCATCGTCGAGGAAAGGCGGTGGTATTATCAATATTATCAGCGTTGGCTCAAGGCAATGGATCGCCGCAGCGCGCCTCGACAGCCGTCACGGTATCGCCGACTTTGCGTGGTGGAGCACGGGCGACGGCCTCACGATACTCGGACGAGGCGGTCAGGTTGGCGAGTACAGCATGGAAGAGCGAAAGTTCCTCGGCATCTGGCACGACGAGGGCTGCATCGGCGGCATTGTCGTCGCGCTCGGCGGCCACCAGGGTCCTGCCACCCTCGGTAACGATCGGTGGGTCGCTGTCGGCTCGAACAGCGGTGTCACGAACATTTACGACCGTGCCGAGCTCTTCGCGACAAACAAGGCGGGCGTCGACACGATCAAGGCCAACCCGGAACCCATACGTCGCTTCGAGCAGCTTGTCACACCCGTCACCGTCCTCACGTTCTCGCCTGATGGACAGCTGCTCGCCTTTGGCAGCCAGCACAAGAAGGATGCCCTCAAGCTTGCGCATCTGCCGAGCTGCACCGTGTACAGGAATTGGCCGACAGAAAACACCCCTCTCGGACGGGTGACGTGTGTTGCATTTGGAAGGAAGAGCGACCTGCTCGCCGTCGGAAATGACGTCGGCAAGATCAGACTATGGGAGATTATGAGCTAGGCGCGGGGTCCAGATGATGGGGTTGCAAATGGGTACTGGGATGATGCCTGAGCTGAGGGAGAGGAAGAGGATAACCTCGGGTAGATGTATGAAGAGAAACCATTCCCAAATCATCTGCATGCGCTCACTCATGTACCATGGCTGCTGTGTCTCGCCCGATCCTTCAGTATCCAGTCCCTTGCCGAACACTACATCACAATCTTCCTTCGCTGATGACTCCTGGGTTCCATCCTGCTTGCAAAGTGAATGTTGTTGGCTTTCGTCCTCTCTGCTACCGCAGGCTGTCGCGTGGAGATCCAGACCGTCGAGGGAATCTATGACTTATGTCAGCGTGGTGCCAAATACGTCCTGAGTGACGAGCATTTGGTTTCATCCAATGAAGGATGTCTCGCGGCAGCCCCGCAACTCAGTGTGAAGACAAACACCATCCCGGTAAGAGTCGACTTAATGCGTACCTTGTTCTTCATTCTCATTTTCTTTGTTCCCCTCCTCGTCCTCTGAGTTTCCGAGGCTATTGATGACAGTCCATGAAGAAATCGTGCTGAACGACGGGCTGGGGGAACGAGAGCAGCGAACGGACATGGGGCATCGTATGTCAGTGGTCGGACCGGGGCCTGGCTTGGCCATTCTGTAACGACGATTGAAGCTGTGTTCTTTGTATGATATATTGTGCGGCGTTGGCGTGAAAGACGCTGACGATGACGTCCATGCTGTCATTCGATTACCCCGCAGGCGTTACAAGTTCAGGGGGGACATCTGCCACCTGTTCTGCGTTGTGCATGGCTTTTCAGAGTTTCCAGAGGAGACTCCCATTGATCAGCCGTTTCTTCTTATAGCCGTAGCAGGTGAAAGCTATACGGCATTGCCTACGCTTGGCTCAATGCTTGACTCAGAACCTATAGACGAATCATTCGTCACTAAGGTCCGATCATTCTGGTTGCCATTTTGAATCAGGATGAATGAACACGATGCTTGGGATGGACACCTCAGCTGGAAGGCTTTCTAAGAAGCTTTTTATGAATGGATCGCCGTGCAGTCATGGAAAGGCTCATTTGACACTCAAAAGAAAGTACTTTCCTACAGCAGGCGCCTGTAAGCCACATACCTTGGAAACATGTGAATTTACCCCTCAGATGCACGGGATCTTTGTTAAATGCAACCACCATGAATAAACGGTTGGCAGATTTCCAAGCAGAGGGAAGCCAGAGTCTCGGAGGGTAGTTTCAGTGACGGAAGTCTGTCATAAGACTGAAACCGAACCTGAAGGCTGGGTATCCCAAGGTTCAAGTCATTCAATCACACACATGTAAATAAATAGGTTGAAAGATGAGGCTTGGAACAAACCGTGGGCCGTTTTGATCAGCCTGAGCACCTGCTCTCAAGTAGAAAACATGAAACAGCCATTCGTTATTGAAATGTCTCAAACGTCTCAAAATGAAAGACAACGGCCACGAAACGTCATTTTCGTAGCTTTGGCTAGCGCTGGTGATCGATGGGATTTTAACGGCCTCTGTTTTTCAGTTGCAATACTTACACGTTATAGCAGGTCGCCTAAGCCCGAGTGAGTATCAAACGCTAGAAAAATCGATCTAGTAATGAATCCGCAAAATCGTTGAAGTTCAATCGGTTGGACAGGAGTTGAGACTCACCTGCTGAGCGAGCGCTCTGTAGCTCTATATTAATCAACGATTGTCCCTCACTCTCCCACTGCTAGCGGACCGCAGTCGAATATTTGAACACGACAGACGCACTATAAGTTCACTATGAAGTTCAAAGAGGTCTGGTGGACGTTGCAACTGTCGACATGTATGTACTAGATCTCACGGACCTTCAACAAAGGCCGCATGGCCCAATGGCAAGGCGTCTGACTACGAATCAGGAGATTGCAGGTTCGAGCCCTGCTGTGGTCAATTCACTCACTCACCTGAGTGCACTAAACTTTTGCCCAGTCCCACTGTGGACAACCGTAACAGAAGCCTCCTTTTCTTTTGCATACCCATATGAGACACAACCCAAAGCTTTACAATGTCTTCATATACCTGTGAACTCTGTAGGAAATCATTTGACCGTCAGACCAAATTATCGCTTGCTTGATATCACTGCAAAGCACAGGCTCAATTTGAACCTCGCATCATATCAAGCCTTCCTCGTCATCTCAAAGTCTCAATACAGACGATCTTGTGAATGAGGCTGACAGCGGGAATCAGAGACACAATATGACCGCCACATCCAGTACTGCCGTCGGCGAGCTGCAAGAAAACAGCCTGCCCGACCGACCGCATGCAACGCATGCCGGAGCACTAAGAACAAGTGCGACTTTCACCAGCCGTGCTCTCGATGTGCTGTGAAGCAGACGGAGTGCATCTACGGCCGAGTCTCCGGCACTTCACAGATTCGGACGACGAGTTCCGACGCACCCGTGGCAACGGCCTTGACACCAGGTGAGCAGGATCCGACCACACTCACCAGCGACCACTGGGCCTTTGATGGCGACCAAATGGATCTTGGTCTCGCTAGTCAGGAGGACTACAATTACAGCGTTACCCTCTTCCAATCACCAGCAAACTTCCTGTCCACGATCGAGACTCTATTCGCTGCGCCCCCTACAATCCCCAAACCTCTCGTCCCAAACCTCAGTCTTCAGCCCGTGGACCTCATGCGCTCCGGCTCGGACACCAGTCAACTCCTCTCCCTCGGGAGCTACCCAATCTCCGAGCAAAAGACAATGGGCCAATGCCTCTCCCCAGCTGTCGCCGTTTCATCACCGCCACGCTCCGATCATTCCCCCGCCTCATGGCCCAGCTGGCCAAGTGGCCGGCCTTTATCCACCCGCTTGTCAGCAGCCCGCATTTCGACGAGCGAGACGTCGAACCCCCACCAACCACGCCCCAGCCGCTGAAGCCGCTGGCTGCTTGTAGCGTCATTTCTCAAGGCTTCGTGGCGCAGTCAGAGGGGTCAATGGATTTCCTCTGGCGGAGCATCGAGGCCGAGGAGCGGTGGATCAAAAGCGACGTCAGTATCAGTCCCAAGCGGAATGGGCGCAGCGTTCAGCTGACAGACGCGCAGATGCACAAGTTTTCGCTCGGGGAATTGCTGGCCGCTATGCAGGCGATGGTGATTTACACAATCATGCGGATGATCGACTTTGGTCCCGACTATTTTACCGAGCACGACGGCATGATTGTCACGATGCAGGTCTGTTAACTCCATAGATACTATTTCCCAACGACGGGCACGGAGCTGATCACCTGTGGTGTAGGATCTTGCTTATGTGTATTCGTCCTGCGTTCCTGGACCCTTCAGCCCGCCACACGAGCGCAAGGCTGGGTTTCGATGGAAGGACTGGTTGTGCGAGGAAGTGCGGCGACGGTAGGTTTCCCATTCTCGAGGCTGAGCCTTGGAGGCTCAGGCAAGTCTAGGGTTCATGGGTCGACAATCTGAAAAACTAGGCTCATAAACACTTGCCTGCGTGGCTCTCGTCGTCGGCACAGGCAGCACCCAAGGCCTCGCGAACCCTAGCCAAGGACCCTTGCCGGGCCCAAGCAGTCTCTGGGAAGCCGACAACGAGTGGGACTGGGCGAGAGAATACATGAGATCCTGGGGCCCTCAAGGGAACGGCAGTGGGAAGCTGTCTGACAGCCTGGCTCGAGCCTGGCGATATCAAGCCGTTGCAGGCCAAGGTCGTGGAGGGCGGGCTCGAGGGTCTTCAGAGTGCCATGGACGAGGTCCAGAAGGGGGTTAGCGGCGTGAAATGGGTCGTGGAGGTCTGAGGACCCATTGGAAGCATTTTTTTCACAGCAAGGTGCGTAGGATGAATGCTACGGTCGAGACAGGAAATAGACATGAAAATGGAAAGTGAAATCGAGACATGCAGGGGTGAGCCACGCCAGCGTGGCTGCGGGCCGTTTTGGTGTGGGTGTGGCGCGGAAAGACATGCCGAAATGAGACGGACCGTCTTTCTGGGAGAAAGGCCAGGGACGTTGCCCGAAACATCAAACATCGATTCCACGGTCCCTGTTCATCCATGGTCCCTGTTCATCCATCCCCCCTTCTAGAGGGAGTCGAGGGATGGTGCCGCGGGAGGATCCATGCTTCGGTCAAGATGATCATTTGGCGAGGAATCCAAGCGAATTGATGTCAGACCCTCCTCGAGCTCTCGACTCAAGCTCTCAAGCCCTCGAGCCGCCCACGCAGTCCCAGCGCCAAGGTACCGTGCCCAGTGGTGGGAGGCAGGGATGTTGTTTTTGTTTACTGACGCCTTTTTTCTTTCCAGCTTTCCAGCGCCAGCTGCCTCGTCGTCATTCGTCTTACACTCATACACGTAGCACCATCACCATGGCGATGCATGACGAGCCTCTGCTTTTCCTGTCCACCATGTCCTCCCTCCCTTAGTAGGTCGCCAGCTCCAACAGGCCCCATCCACCTGGGCACTCCCTGTACCATGGCCAGCACAGCCAGCACATGCCATGCAAAGCAGCCCATGTCGGCGGAGCATAGAGCACAGAGCACAGAGCACAGGCAGGCAAAAAATAATCATGCGATAGCGGCCCACCTGCCCCCAAGCTCGCTCATCGGGCATCTCACGTCCACATACATGGACTTGTCTCTCTTCTTTCCGACTCCCGGCCTGTCTGTCCAGAACGCGTCTTATCTTCTCCGTCGTCACGATTTCTCACGTCACAAACACACCACATCGTCCGGCGAACATCTCACATTCTTCCTTCCCGTCTTGACCCCGCCGGCCGCCGATTTCTCACCCCATTCCTGACCCCCCATTCTCCTGCAGCCTCTCTTTCGTCGTTTCCCAGGTTTCCCCTCTTCCCGATCCATCTTTCCGCCTATCCACCTCGGCCTTGGAAACCGACTTTGGAACCCGACTTTGGAACCCGACTTTCTGATGGGGCGCCTGCATCAGACACACCTGTTTGGTCACTTCCCCAGCCGCTGTGCCTCCACTGTTGGCCTTGCCTTTTGCTTCTTGACGCTGTCCACCGCTCATTGAAAAAGTCACTGCCCTGCCCGACTGAGCTTTCAGCACATGACATCCCCGCGAAGCTGAGCTTCACCTTTCCTTCCCTGCGAAAACAACGTTTTTTTTTCCTTCTCTCTCCCTCTCCCAAAGCCCATGGCCATGGATCCCAGGGCAGGTGTCCCGCCATGCAGGGCGTCAACTCCAAATCTCGACGGCCAAAGGCGATTTCCCCTCATCGGCCGGAGGCCATCATCAGTATCGAGCTCTAGTTCACCAACACCGCCCGCAACACCAACAAGAGCGTCACCCGCGCTTGCACCACCACAATCTCCTGCTCAGCCATCGACACCACCACCGGCAGGCCTGACCATTAGGGCTCTCATCAAGTTCGGTCCACCGTTACTGGCCAACTACGACAACATTTACGAAGCCTGTAGAGACTTCATCCCTTCTGATAACATCTGCCAGGGCTTGCTTCGCCGCCTCGAGCATGGCTGTCATGATCTGATCACCCGCCGCGACTCGTCCGCCTTGGATCCCAAGTCTGGCAGGAAACCTCTTCGCTTCGAAGCACATTTCACCATCACCCGTGCTGGCGTTCCCTGGACCACTGTGACGTACAGATCTTACCAAAAACTGCCCTTGGACAGACAGGCTGCAGTTGATGTCGCATGGGCAACCGACCGCATTATCGGAACTTTTCTTCGCCGCCACGATAGAGGCTTCACCTGGCAGGCACCTGATCGGCACTCTATCGATTCCCGCACTACGAGGCCCCAAAGCCGTCATAGTGCTTCACTCTTCTCCCTCGCCTCACAGGATCGTCTTGTCGTAGCAAAACAACACGAACCATTCTTACCGGGCTACGAAGTCGTCCTGAATTTCCGCTCAAAATGTCGGTCACGTCAACCTGTCACCTGGGACCGCCGCTTCACCATCCAGAGCACGCAGACCACGCCACTCACGCCGCGATTGGTCGAAGGCTTTATATGGAAGCTGTCGAAATGTATTCATGACGCGCTGGATGCCAGGAAACGCGACTTTGACGACTCTCGGGCGACGTGCGATTTCCTGGAAGAGGTGCAAGACTCATTTGAAGATGGGGCTGTCTTCATCGACTTCAAGCTACACAACTGCACCAGGATCAACAACCCGGACGCTAGCCGCTCTGTCACTAGTAGTTTCCCTCTCTTCCAAGACTCGGATGCACACGATGCACGTGAGTTTGCTGAGCAGCTGAACAAGTCGCTCACCGACCTAAGAGACGAGACGGACAAGGCTCTGAATTCACTCGACGACCTCAAGCTTCTCATTCGAGAGATTTCTGGCCGCGACCACACCATCAAGAATCCCTTTGCTGTGGTTCTCGACTCGTCAGTCTGCTACGCGCCACGGACGATCGACGCTGCCTTGGACAGAGTCCAGTCTGGGATCGCCCATGTTCTGTATGGCAAAGACGTGACCCTAGTCATGGCTGCTACCAAACGTGGGCATATGGTCCTTGAAAAGACCATTGTTGGTCGACCAGCTTCTCTCAACTCTCTCACTTCTCTTCATTCTCTCGCTGAGGAGCCCCAGACGGAACAAGAGATCCTCCTTTCGAGCCTCAAAGAGTGCATTCAGCGGGACATCGCCATGGTCATACTTGACACGAGGTCCTTGAGTGACATGCAGGCAAGGCCCCCGAATCTTCGCTTGATTGAGCGCAGCGCACCCCCCTCCTCCACTCGACCGCCCGCCGTATTCGCCCAAGGTTCCAGCGGCCTGTCCGTCCCTCCAGCTGAAGCTGGGATCGAGACGAATGAGACGTGTCCCGAAACAACTGTCTCAACGGCCCCAGCCGCGCTGCCACATCAGCCTGAAACACCAGTCAAGAGTATGGTCAGAAACGATGATCTAGGAATCGAGGCCCCATTGATCAGCCGCGAAAGCAGCGCCGATCTCTCTACCATCACTGTCGATAACGAAGTTGGGAACTCGACCCCGCCATCTACACCCAGCCTCAGCGACTGCGCCGTTGACAGCCCTCGTCATAGCTACCCGACCACACCCCCTGCGCTGCAAGCTTTTGTGGGCGCAGCCGATGAAATTCGCGTCCGGCGCGATTCCGACACTTCGGATCAAGAGTGCGAAGATGGCATCGCATCACCAGAGGTTCCGAAAGAAAATGCGCCTGTCATGGCCAAAGAACCGCGCCGATTCGGATTGCTTGGCAAGCGACTTCAGGCGACCACACATGCGTCTGATGAAGTTGCGAACCCTAAAGAAACCACAACGACGAACACATCGGACGCACATGTCGTGCAGTCGAATCCCGCTCCGGCTGTCGATGACCCTATAGTGCCTGCTGTTCAGAAAGCCCCCCATGAATCACCCTTTGAAGGATGGCTTGGCTATTCGTGCGAACCCATTCTAGAGGAGCCACTCGAGGAGCAGCTGGATGCAGTGGTTGGGCATGCAAAGTTGGAGGAGCTCTCAGCTGCTCAGTCATCAACCTCGATTGCTGAGGTCCTCACGGCCAAGTCGCCCGAGGCAGCTGTGGATGCTGCACCCGCTGACGAGGATGCCAGCGCAGTTCCTCCCCTGCAGGATGTAGTCGTCAACCTGGCGCCTCTCGATGATGTGCCTGTAATCACCGATCTCGCCGTCGTTTCGAATCCCGGGTTTGAGGGCTGGCTTGCATATTGTTGTGAATCTCTCGACCAAGGCCACCTCCATACTGACGCGACGCAAGCCTCAACCACCCTTAGCCAACCTCTTGGTACCCTTGAGAGCGTCGCCCTTGAAGATCCAGAGCCATCTCTTTCAACTCCGGCTGCAGAACCTACCGAGGGAGCGATTCCTGTGGATGACTGCAAGGAGCTGGACCTAACCGCTAAGCCCTGCACAGTAGATGGCGCGGAGGCAGCCGAAGGTGTTGCAGTCAATGAGCCACAGGCGTCCTTGGATGACATCAAAAACGAAATGCCCTTGCAGCATGCAATAGTCTTGGAGACCATGGCCCCCAACGCAGCTGTTGAGTCCGTTGAGCCAGCAAAGCTCAATGTCCCTCCTAGCTCCACCCCGGTAGAAGCCACTAAGGATGCTTTTGCTCCTGTCAAGGCTCTTACCCTTACCACCGAATCCTCCGAGTTCCGTCAGCCCTTGGCTGAAGATGTCAATGATACCCCCAAAACCCCCACCGACACGCAGGCGTACGAGACCGCCGATCCCCACACCCCAACGATGACGGACGACTCAAACGGCAGCGACTCTATTGCAAACCAAGACCACTCTCCTAGCCCATTCCCTGAGCTTGATGGCCTCAAGCTTACAGGGTCCGCTTCTTCCACCTCGCTCACACTGTGGTCTCTGCACCGATCTCCTTTCTTCTCAGACGACTTCGATTTCGGCTCCAAGGGCATCGAGTCCCCCTCCAAATATGCTCGTCCCTCGTTTTCGCGCCCCCAAACCTCCTACGGGTCAGCCCTCTCCCACATGGCCCCAGCCTTGCGCCGACCCCAGCTCCAGCCCCACAGGCGCCAGTTCTCCTCTCCGACTGCTGGGTACCTCGGCCTCCTTCACGGGCATGGTTCCCCACTACGGATGACGAGCTACGTCTGTTCTCAGCTTGTGGATGGAACGCAGGATGAGGGGCCTGCCGTGCGTCGCCGGAGCCTGCACCGCAGTCCCTCGAGTGTGCTCCTTGGCCCTGGCTACGAGCAGAGCGTCGAGGCACAATCGCGACCTGGGTCGTCGGCTGGATTCCGGCCTAGGACTGACAGCATGAGTTCTTTCGGTGGCAGGTCCAGGACAGGATCGATCATTGGTGGTGCTGGACTCTGGATGAAGTAGAGACGCATCTCCCTGCATGGTGTAGAAGGGTAGGCATATATTTCTTTCACGCTTACATATTTTGGGGTTTATCGTACTGGAGGCCCCTGAGCCTGGCGTTTCGGGCATGGTACATGGTTCAAGGGGAAAAAGGATCATCATAGCGCCCCCAGGCATTTGTGAGCGTTTATTTCACAGCATCAAATTGTCACAATTTTCTCCGCATCCAGCCTTCCTCTGACTCGCGTGCTCCCTGTCGATATATGATTTTGACCTGTAACGGCCAGCCTGGCGAGACGTATCCTAGTCCGCGCGGGAAACAAAAGGATTAGGGGTTTTCGCCGCGGCGCTCGACGCAGCTTTCGCACGAGACAAGAAGTCGGTCAGCGGGATTCACGGTTCCAGAAGCAGCCGTGTGATTGGAAGGCAAAGCACGCGCATGTAGATGTCCCCGACGAGGCCAACTTCTCAATCAGTCTTCATACTGTTGATCCTTGCCCTCGCGCTCGCGTCCTCGCACTCATCCAGGCCCTCGCCCGCGGAGACTCCCGTTGTCTTTGCTTCCCAGAAGAGCAGGTCGAAAGCAGAGGTACGCTGTGCCGGCTGCGGACGGCGCGGGTCCGCCTGCGCGTTCGTGATTCCGCGGCCTTGGAGGCGGAAGGACAGGGAGGCGGGAACGAGGGGCTAGGGAGGCGGAATGGGCGGGCATGGTTCGCGGGCCATCTGCCTTGCCCGTTGGCGCTTCGTGGTTGGCAACGGGGTGCGTGCTGTAGGCCTTTACTGTTACGGGATTCCGCGCGCGCGAGAAAGACAGAGAGAGAGGGTTGCGTGTGTGAGGGCTGTCGCAGAGGCAAACGATGATGTCCAGCTGCTGGAATGGCCCGGGGTTATCCAGTAGGGGTCGTTGCATAAGTTGCGTCTGATTGGCGTGGTTCTTGCGGAATAGAGATGGCTTACCGGAAATGTATGGGCTGAAGGGATGCTGGCAACCAACAGCATGTAGATGGTTGCATTTCGTGCAGATGCAAAGTGGAAGTGCGGCGAGAACGCCCTATAACCGCCCTCCTCCCTCTCTTCCTCCCTCCTGAGCGCCCCTAGCCTACGTTTTGCAAAATAGGATCATGGAATTGCCATTCTGACTCCGAGTACCTGCGTGACGGTCTTGATTGGGGTCCTCCGATATGTGGTGAGAAGCCGCTTGCTGGTCGTTTGAATTCTTCAGAAACCTGCCAACTTAAACGCAACCCTATTTTGACTTTACTGACGGACACCGTTTCCCCAATGTCCTTTCCGAAGTGGCAAACACTGTTTGTCCTTCAGGAGGTCATGAGTTCGCTCGGAGCAGAACACTGACTGGAAGTTCAACTTTGATTTAGTCGCAGATGAGGATTTTTCCCACTGTATGGGTTTGGCCAAGTCGACGAAGTGAAGATGCGGCAGGAAGACGAAAGGCATGCTTCGTCTTGATGCCCGGCTGCCACGGATGAGCTAGGCTCTAACCCTTCTGACTGGACGTCAGATTTCGTCAAAATGGAAGACTTTCTGACGAAATCGCACTGCGGTTACCACCTAGAAGAAACAATCCGAAGGTTCGACCTGTGGAAGTTATATCACATTCGCGCCGCTTCTTTCCGTGGCGATTTCAGCGCACAACATTGCGAGTCCACCTCCGGGGCAAAGCTTCCAATGTGAAGGCCTCGTATGCAGGGAGCGATGATGATGCTCCTCTCGTGAGAAAGCCCAAGAGACTGAGCTTAACGACAGCTCCCACGGCAGTCCAAGCGGCCGCACCCAGGCAAGGAGGCGGTCTGCACGCCCCGCAGCGAAGCAGTAGAAGAAACAGCTACAACCCGGGGCAGCCACGATGAACGGCGACTTGGTAGCGTCTGACACGAGTAGCATGTCCAAGTCGGCGTTTGGGGATGACATCTTGCATGAGACGGAAGACGAAGACGAAGCTGACGACGACTCCTCACTTGTGGACGAAAGGATCCGCGACCTGGAAGTTTCTGGCCCTTCTTCCGACGAGATTGGCGAAATCTCCAGGCTCTCGCCTCGCCGCCGAGCCATGAATCGCGATCGGTCAATCATGCTCCGCGAGATCTACAAGGCACCCACCCCGAGCCAGACCAAGCTGGGTATTGTCTACGTCCTTACTCATTAGAGCCTGTCTGGCAGGTTCAAGATGGATTACTCTATAACGTCGGCTGCGGCCAGGCTGAAGCAGAGCAAGAACTGCTACAAGAAGGACATGGAGAGTATTCATGAGTCGGGCGAGCACTTCTTTGGCGCACTCAAAGCCGAGACGCTTGCCAAGACGATGCTCCGCAGTCAAAACGTTCACGTCATAAAGTGCAGTCAGTGCGCCGCCGGGCACATCGAGTACTTTCAAGTGATTCGGGTGTATATTCTTTCCGTCGTTAACGTGATGGAGACGATCTTACAGGCGGACGCTTATGTCCTCATAAAAGCGTTGGGCTGGATCCTCAGCGACGCTTGGCACCAGTTCCTCGACACGTTTTCGGACACTGCTTTTCTCCAGAAAATGGTGTCCACGGCGCGCTAAACCCGTAGATCTCGCAGCCATGCTGCGGCGAGGGAGGTGAATCGCATTTCTGAAGCCTTGGAAGTGACGGTTCAGGCCAAATACAAAGCCATGGGAGACTATGCCCATGTGACCGCGATCAAATTACCCACGAAGGCAGCTCCATCACATACGGTGCAGGAAGAACCCCCAGAGATGCTTCGGTTGCCACAGACGCCGAAGGCCTCGAGGGATTGGGGGAGACCGGAGACACCAGAGACGCCGGAGGACGCCGCGCATGCACATCGGCCGCCTCCGCCAGCGACGACGGAGATACACATATTCACGCCTCTGGCGCCAAAGATGCCACACAACATGCACTGATAAGGTCAGCCGCCGACGTTGCCCGCCGTCTGCGGGCGCAACTCGGCCGAGGCCGGTGGAGGTGCGGAGCAGGAGATAAGATGTCGGCCGCTCCGGCCAATCGGCGTCGACTGGTGCAGGATGAGGAAAAGCAGCTGCACGACTACGGCTGTTCCCATCTATAAAGCCATCACTTCGCACATGCGTCTTCGAGTAGCTGAACATCTTCACACCTTTCATACCAGAACAACATCAGTATTCAACAACACCCACCTAACTCTGTTCACACTGCTATCTCCCTCTCGCATCATGCCTTCTGCCATGCCATCTCCAACAGTCAGCCCCCTCTCCTCCCAAGGTGAAGGCTCGTCACTGGGCGCCGTCATCGCCAACATGGACATTGATAATCTCTCTGGTAAGGCCTGACTCTATGGGAGCCTTTATTTTGTGACTTGATGTGCTACTTGTAATTGGGAGAACACCCGTGGAATCGGTAACCTCCCTTGGTAAGTCCCCTCAGCTCTAACCATCAGCATGAGCACCGTGCTGACTCTTGGTTTCAGACACCGATTTCAAGATGATCCAAATTGCCTTGTATCACCACCAAGTGGTTGTCTTTAAAAACCAGGGCCACCTGTCTCCGAAGGCCCAGTACGAGGTCACCCAACGCTTCGACCCCGCCGCTGCTGGTGCCTACGGACACGGCAAGACTCTGGACGCCAAGCGCTCCATCCTACACCCTGACCTCAAGACCATCCCCCACCAACCTCAGGTTCAGGTCATCGGCAACGGGTTTGTAGAGAGCTACGAGGGCCTCGAGAACATCACCCTGCGCCATCCCCACCACCGTACCTTTCACGCCACCCGTATCCCTGACGAGGACGACCTCGACTTTACGCGCTACTACCGCTGGCACATTGACGCCGCACTCTACGGCCTCGCGCCTCCCGTAGCTACCTCTCTCTTTGCCGTCCGCGTTCCCGGTGGTCGCTCTCAGACCCTTCGCTACGACGACGGCACCGGCGACGAGAAGACCGTCCCCCTCGGCACCACGGCCTTTGTCTCCGGCGCCGCCATGTACGAAGCCCTGTCGCCCGAGGACCAGGCCTTCTGCCGCGGCACCAAGGTCGAGTACGCACCCCATCCCTACGTCTGGATGAGCGGCGCCCGCTCCCGCCCCGACGGCCTCGGCCTCGTCTCCGAGGGCCGCGAGCTGCCGCTGTCCGACCTCCCCCCCATCGACGACGACAAGATCCAGATCCTGCCCATGCTCTGGCGCAACCCCGTCACCGGCGCCCTGTCGCTGCAGGTCCACCCCTCCGCCGTGCGCAGGCTGCACCTCGCCGACGGCACCGTGCTCGACGACCTCGCCGAGGTCAGGGAGATTGTGCACAGGCTGCAGCGGCCCGGCATTGCGCCTGAAAAGGTGTACGCGCATGACTGGGAGGAGGGCGATTTCGTCATCTTCCACAACCGCGGCGTGCTGCATTCTGTCGTCGGTGCCTTTGCCGAGCATGAGGTCAGGCTGTTTCGGCAGTGTAACATTGCCGGGAGTGAGCTGCCGGTCGGGCCGGAGGGGATTTAGTTGAGTCCTGCCTGGGCTTGGAGTTTGTCTTTTGTTTTAGTATCATTTTTAGGTATTCGTCTGATTTATATAGAGTTCCTCCCGAGCATTGTTTCCTCGTCGTGGGCCTGATGCTGTAGTGAGCGATTGGTGACTGACCTAATAGCGTCCCTAGATAGTTCCCGTTCGCTTGTACAGTGTACAGTGCTAGTCAGTTAGCTATTGAGTTGATGAATGCAATAGGCATGTTCAGTCCCGCTTTCAGTGCTATTGGTCAGACCCCAAAGACGGCTTGATTTATTTTCGATGCTCTGGCTTGAGAGACGGGTAGCAGTCACACGAATCTTCATCCAGTAAAGAGGATGCACTTACATCTCTAATTCATGCCATGGACTCGAACAATGTCTCGACCAGCCGAAGACCAGTCTGTTGGCTTGAACAAGTCACACGAAAAGACACAAGCCTTCGATCGTGCGAAGTGCTGTGCTTTGTTCCGAATGTTGCCGCTAAACAACCAACGTTGATTTTGAGCGTCTTGACAAAAGCTGAACATGGTTTTGTGACAAAGAAAGAAAGTCTGTGGACTGGGGATGATACACTTTCTGTAATTGTCGTTATCGACGACAGAGTAGCAGATCTCGGTCTTAGAGACTATGAGATCCTACTCAAAATCGTTCATGAGGTTCGGTGTGAACCTTGAAGTTGATCAGAAAGTCGTAGCTAGAATGATCCGGGACATTATGAATGATTCTCAACCCAACATACTCCGTATTCCAGGGCGGGACTTGAAGTCATGCCATGTCGGAGACTCATACACGATGCTTGTCTAGCACGACTTCTTTACTGGTTTCATGTCTCATCCATCGCACCAACCAGTCTTTGCTTTGATGACTGGTAACAATGAGTTGACTCGAAATCAATCCGTTTAATTTGGAAAATCCTTCAAAGAACCAAGCGCTGTGATCTGATCCTTACAGATTGTCTTCATTTGCACGCGCAATACTTATACATGTGAGCTTCCGGTCCCAGATATCCACCATTCGAATTCTGCATCAAATGCTACATGCTTCACACCCACCATACCATCACCCACAGATATCTTCACACGCTAAAACATGGCCATCACATACGTCTGCAACCGCTGTGGCGGGGCCATCCACACGTACCGGTTCATCAACATCTTTGATGAGAAGGCGACCACCAACCCCGACGAACCAGTCTACTTTACCGAGCTGTTCGAACGCGGGCGGTGCACGGATCATCTCATCTGCAACAGCTGCAGGGAGGCTTTTGAGATCCTCTATCGGGAGCTTGCCCTGGCGATTCCGAACATAGAAACCATCATGGGTTATGACGTGCGGCTGCTGGACCAGCTGCGCAACGGCGTGACTTGGGTCAATCCTCAGTGTTACCAGGAGAACATGAACGAACCCGCGTATCTCGCCGTGCATGGCCAAGACGGGCACGATGAGCCGTATTATCCACCCCTGGAGGAGGCTCTCGAGGCCGAAGATAAGGAGGGCGAGGAAAATTATGAGGACACACAGGGCGAGAATGAAGGCGAGGATGCCAAGGAGGAAAAGAACCAGTGAGAGCTTATGGAAACTAGGCTCGGGGGGTCAACGAGTGTTGATGGACTGCTGGCTAAGCCGCCATGCTCTGGCAGTCGGGCCTCATAAGCGAGTCCAGTAGCAATTATCACGATAATTTTACCCCCCATAACTATTGCTATACAAAGTGCGTGATGTGATAGACCGTGGAGTGACATCTGGATCCTCCGACCTACTGGCTCACCAGTACTACGAGGCAAAATCGAAATTGCTTAAGGTAGGTACTCTATAGTTTCTCTATTTCTATGATTTATTTTCTATACATGCAGAGGCCCCTTCTCAGCGAGCCCCTTGACGGCGCCGGCATTCGCCTCGTCCGCCCGCTGGATGCACTCCTCGAGCACCTTCCAGAACTTGGGCACGTCAATGCCCCTCGGGATGGCCACGCCAGCGCTCCCCGCCTCGAGCTTCCTGCAGATGGTCCTACCCGTCTGCGTCTTGCCCTCGAGAGCATCGGCGTAGCTGCCGTCGGTCTCGACCTTGACCTCGAACCGCTCGCGGTACTTGACACTGCCGCTGCCGGCGGCGGCGGCGTCAAAGTCGCGAAAGGCAATCTCGTGGGGCGTGCCGATGAGGGCGACGGCGACGGCGAGGGGGTCGTGCAGCGGGGGCCCGTCGGTGATGCCGAAGACGTCGGCGTACGTCTTGGCGAAGAACATGAGGAGCTCGACGAGCATCTGGCGCAGGGTCGTCTTGCCGGCGCCCGTCTTGGGGCCGCCCTCGCCGTAGAGCAGAGGTCGCGGACGTGCTCGGTGGCGAGGACCTGGTGGGTGAGGTCGAGGGGGATGAAAGGTCAGCTTGGGGCTGATGACGGGGTCGTCGCAGAGGAAGGCGGCGGCCTCGGGGTCGGCGATGATGTTGAACTCGGCCCAGGGGGTGTAGTTGCCGATGCGCTCCTCGTCGCCGACCTTGCCGAGGGGGATGTCGGTGAAGCCGTCGCCAAAGGCGCCGCCCATGACGCTGACGGCCTTGACGTGGGCCTTGAGGTTGGGGTGGGCCTGGAAGAGGGCGGCGACGTTGGTGAAGGCGCCCGTCGCAATGACGTGGACCGTGTTCGGGGCCTCGGCGAGGATGGCCTCGGCCATGGCGTCGACGGCCGGCCGCGTCGCGTTGGGCTTGACGAGGGGCTGGGGCAGGAGATCGGTGCCGTCGAGGCCCGACTCGCCGTGAATGTCTGTGGGGTGGTGCATCGGCGGCCGCGTCAGGGCGTGGGAGGCGCCTGCGTAGACGGGGATCTCATTGTGCTTGCTGATGGAGGTGAGGATGGAGGCGGCGTTCATGGTGGTTTTGCTGATCAAGTCTGTTAGCGGGTGGGCTCTTGAAGGGCCTCTTATCTCATCGATGAGAGCACCTTGGTGAACAGGTTGTCATACTCGAGGGCGGCATTTCCAAAGACGGTAGAGATACCCATGAGCCTGATAGCAGGGTGGTAGGCAGCCAGAAGAATGGCGAATGTGTCCTAGGTCACGTCAGGGGATGAACAGAGGATCAGATGGCGACGTAGCCCCTGAACGAGCCTCGCTTACATCGTGGCCGGGATCGCAATCCAGCCAGAGGGGGATCTTCGGTGAGAGGGGGATCGACATGTTGATAAAGGCTGATAAGAGGTAAGGAGGTTGAGGTATCACAGGACGATGCTAATATGTAGCCAGGATGTTCTCGGTCGATATCAGAACGTTGCGATGGTAGCAATGAGGATGAAAATATAGATGCAGGGCAACGTTGGTGTGGTGGTGAGGATGGTGAGGATGCGGGGGAAGAGTTGGAGTCGCTCGGTGACCTTTCGTTCGGTGGACACCAGGGCAGCTAAATGAAGGGGGTGGACCTCGAGCGCGGGGAATTAACCTCCACTCCCCATGACAATCGAAAATGGATCAATCGACAGATTTGTTGTCGTAGCGAATGAGCCTCTTGAGCCTCGCCGGCAACTGCGGTAGCCCGCGACGATGTCGAAGGGGGTTCAAGCCGGCCAAGAACGACGGCGCGATCGGAGGTCGCCGCATTGCTGGTGCGTCAAGTGCGTGAACATAGACACGTAGACGATAGCCTACGGAGCCCGTTCCTAAGCGATACCCAGAAAGGCAGGCCGAGGCTATGTTTCTCGTTCATCGCCAGATGACTCAGCCACGACGCATTTCATGGTGGATCACGATGCTGATGAACGTCGAGATCGTGGCTTTGACCTGACTTGGAGCCTTGGAGTCGTGGAATTTATGATTGTGCGGTACCGTCTTCCTCAGGCACCGGACTCCGCTGTCGTTATCCAGACGGTATCGCTCTTCAATTGCCCCAGAAGCCTCAAGCCCCCGCCGCCTTACGTTGCTCCATCACCCGCAGCACGTCTGCTGCATTATTGGCGTCGCCCTTTCGCTTCTTCGGGCCCCTCTTGCGCTTTCCTTTGCCGCCCTTACCCTCACCTTCATCGTCATCATGGCCCCATTCGGAGAGCTTGACCTTGGTGTCGTCAAAGTCCTCTTCGTCCTCGAACCTGCTGGTGCCGAAGCCCATGTCAATGTCGGCATCGTCGCGGTTCGACGACTCGAGCATCTTCTTGTGTTTCTCGGCCCGCCGACGTGCCTCCTCGTCTGCCATGTCGTTGTCGTCGTCGTCTCCCTTTCGATCCTTGGCAGCAGCGCCCAGCTGCGCTGCCCTTTTGAAGGCCGCTTGGATGTCTGGGTCTGACATGGACGGTGCCTTGCGCGTCTGCGCTGAGAGCAGCTCCGTCTTGGAGCCTTTGAAGTAGTCTTTCGCCTCGGCCTGTTTCGGTCTCGGTGGTGGCGGCATGGCCTGTTTGGCGGCTGCTTTTTCGTCCTTTGCTTGCGCCTCTTCCTCGCCTGCCGTCTTGTCCTTGTGTTTGTGATCCTCATCCTCATCAGAGTCAGAGTCAGAATCCATCCCCGCCAACGGGTCGTAATCATCCCCAGCGTCGGCAAAAATATCGTCGTCCTCCTCTTCCGCCGGTTCTGGTTGCTTCTGGTATATCTCTGGTACCTCCATCCCCAGAGGCTTGGCGTCCCTGTCGGGCCTCATGAGCTCGCGTTGCCGTTCGTCTTCCTCGAAATCGCGCTGCACCTTGCGCACCTTCCGCTTCTCGTGGCCGTCCTCGTCGACAATGATCATGACCTCGCGGCCCTTGTTGTCCCTCTCGATCCGCGTGCCGGCCTTTTGCCTGGCGCCAATCTTCTTGAACCTGTCGCCGAGGCTCGCCTCCTTGGGCCGCCTGCGCCGCCGCAAGCGCGCCGCCTTCATCTCGGCTGAGAGTCTGATCGCACATGCGCTTCTTGCCAGGCATGAGAGGCACCTGGCACATCTTCATCTTAGACCTGTTGCCCCGAGTAGGCGACGGACAGCACTGACGGTGATCGCAAAAGCGAGAGAACAGCGTCCTGCGATGGCATGATGCAGCATCGCGACATAGTTTTGACCTGGTAAGGGTAGCAGATAGGAGCGCAAGCAGTAGCATGATAGAGGGCGAGTGTTAGGAGAAAGGTGAGAGAGCAACCAGAAGAGTCAGCGTGGTAAAAGTATAGACCATGAAGGAGGGGCGGATGTAGAGGGAGGATGGCAGGCAGAGAGAAGTGAATGGGGGGAGCAGGAAGGACGATCAGTATGAAAGGGTACCTGAGGAGGTGAACATAGCGGTAAGGCAAATGCTATCGAAAAATCAGGTCGTACAAGGAACAAGATGCGATAT